TGGATATTTGTTTATAATTAGGTCTTTTCGTCTGCCGATAATCGATCTACTCTCTAGGAATGGATCTGCCTTGGCAGCCTTAGATTACTTTCTCAGAGTTCTATGCTCTCTTACATGTAGCACACAAACTTATTTCATAGGATATTATTGGAAAATGTTAGAAGGCAGAAAAGTACACAAGAGAGGCATACTTGCTGAAACAGAATTCTTGGGAAGCACTGTCAGGCCGCAATTGCCAGACTCATATACTTGCCATAACTAGATTCAGGTCTCAAGTAATGTCCCTCCTCTATCATGTTAAGTGCAGTGTGAAGAATCCAAGTATATTTCAGGATAACATTAAATACAAATTTTAAAGCTTTTATATTTATAAATACATGGAAATTAGGTTGATAAAAGGCTGTTTTAAAACAAATTATTGGTACATATTTCTCAAGAACATAATCAGTGACTGAAAAGAGATGGAGGTCATCACACTTGCCCTGTCCTTCACTTTATGAAAAACAGGAGCAAAATTTTGACACTTCCACGATTTAGGGGGATGGGGAGGGGCAGCTGTGTCAGTAGCAAATTATTTTATGTTTTTTAGGCTTCTGAGAAATAAACATTATTTATTGCACAACTTAAGAACAATAAAATTACCGTGCTTAAACTGTTCACTAAAACATTTTCAAATTTTTCAATAAAATGAACATACACCAATTATTATTTAAATATGCTTTATAGAAAGTAAAAAACGATGAGACACACAGAGAATAGCCTCCCTTATATAAAAACGTCATGATACAAAATATTCGAATCATCATAGTTACAAAGAATAAGCTCTGAAACTGCTTTTTTTTTTTTTGGAACTGCTTTCTAAATGTAGTGAAACTGGGCTCTACATCTACTAAAATGAGCTGCCATTTTGACAGTTGGAACTAGAGGAAGAGAGATGATCATTATAAAAAGGGGGCGGGGAAGAAAAAGGAAAAAGCATGCAAAAATAATTTTCAAAGATTCTGAGATCCCCTCTTATTCTGTTCCTACCCTGTGGGGTACCACACAGACGTCACTGCTGAGAAATGTACCCCTCCATCAGTTCCACAGTCATTTCTAGACAGAGTCACTTTGTAATTTGAGGATAAAAAGTCAAAATGTGCGTCCACAGCTTAAGAACAGACAACAAAACTCATGTTGCTGTTTTGCTCTCAGCTAAAAAAAGCAAAATGCCAAGCACTGTCTTCTCCCTCTAGGGTCACAGATGTTCTTATCTGGGTGGCTCTAAACTAACGAGGTTTATATTATCTGGGTTACGAGTGCTTTGTCAGATAAACCTCACATGTTCCAACTGGGGAAAGTTCTAATGCTCCCGGAGTCTGAGATCTGGACCACTGGAGATTCAATGTAGGAAGTCAGGATAAGTTCAAAAATTTAGAATTTTGCTTCAAGACAATTCTTATATCAGGATAGATTTTCAAACTTTTAACAGGGTGTTGTTATCTTTAAAAGATGAATGTTGGTCAGAGAGCAAGAGACTCCAAAAAATATCTTCTATCATTAGATGTGAATAAATAAAACTGCAACTGAGAAGGAAGTGTGAGTAAAAGAATTCATAAATAAAAATGTACCTCTCTTTCAACTTAAACCCCACTTCCCTTCACATCTGACTGCTGGTCTGTCTGTAACAGCACAGATTCGCATGCCTTCCTGAGGCCTGCTGATCGATGTGGCCGGCCGGATGCCTCTGACTGGAAACATTTAGCTTAAGTTTATGCAGTTGAGCTGTTACTACACAGACAAAACAACAGCTGACAATATCATCCTTATTATAATGAAATCATCTCACTAGCCAGTTTTATCAAACAGAAATAATTCAATCCTGATCAGTGTTTAGAAAACAGAGTCTTGGGACTACCCTGGTGGTCCAGTGGTTAAGACTCTCCTGCTTCTAATGAAGGGGACACAGGTTCAATCCCTGGTCGGGGAACTAAGATCCCACATGCCACGTGGTGTGGCCAAAAAAAAAAAAAGAAAGAAAATGGAGCCTTTCTTTTGGGACTTCTTTTTTTCTTGGTTATTAGGTAATCAGACAAATACTAAAAAGATATGATGGAATTTGTATGAGTTCTCTTAAGATATGTACAACTGTATTTTTTATTCTCTTTTAAAGATGTGGTAAACTATAATATTTGCTGGATTTTTCCCCCCATTACAAACTTGTTAAATACACACTGCAGAATATAAAATTTATACTTTTGTGGTCTTTCGTTACTAAGTTTGTATTTTCTCACCCTGGTTAGAAGGAAAACAGAAAATAAGGTTTTTGTTTAGAAGAATTCAGACCTGGGGTGACCCCTTGCCCCAACCTTAATGCAGTGACTCTGTGCTGACCCCATGGTGCGTCAGGACTGGCTTCACTGCCCTAGGGAGCGCAGGCTTCACAGAGCCACTGTGCGTGGGCATCTGTCGGGCACGGCCCAGCTCAGCTCCCACCTACGTGAGGCGCCCACTGTCTCGCAACTTGCAGAGAGATTGTGCATTGGCACAAACCTCCTAGAGATTAATAATCATTGCTGGGGAAAGAGAAATTCATCAAACCCTGCCCAAAAGCTGGGCCAAGGAAGCAGGGTTCTCACTGGGACAGTGAAGCTTTATTCCTGTTTTTCAAAAAACATCACACAGTGTTTAGAAATAACATTTCTGCTGTGGAATGAAAGCAATATACTAAAACTTAAGCCTGCTGTAAAGGTGAGTGAAGGTTATGAATGTAAACACCAAAATAATGGGATGCTGAAGAAAAATGGGATGGAAAATTTCTTTCCAGGAGCTTGGCACTTTCCCATGCAGAGAAACAAATCTGAGTAGGTGGGTGGGTAGGAGGCCAGGATGGGGCTAGTAAATAGAGAACTGAAAGGAAGACTCCTCATCTCTTGGGATAGAATCCACGTAAGAAACAGCTCAGGGACTCTGGTTTTAGTCTATCTTATTCTGTTGGTGTATTTACCAGTAATTTACCGAGGTTAGTGTTCATGCCTTATTTTAAAACAGTTGGATCTGTTCTCTATAATTTGTGAAATAAGGGGCTGGGACGTGGTGGGGGTGGGCGAGGCTGAACCATCTTAGATTTTAATCTTTTATTGTCACCACATTCCATGTGCTTGGGTCTGCCCAGCCTCCAGAAGCCCCAGGATGCACCTACTCACGTGGTTCTGTCCTTTCCTACTAACTCCTCCTGCTTTTCTTCTTAGCAGGCGGAGGCATTCACACTGAGCTCAGACTTCTGTACTTAATGTAAAAAATTAGCTCAAGGCATGGAGTCACTCCTGCATACATTCTAATACCCTTCTCCAGGTACAGTTTCTGAGGACAAATGAAAACACCATTTTCTTTAAAAAAGGAAATAAGGATTTAAAATCAGACATCCAAATAAAGTTTCTGAGAATTCTTAGGTACATTTAGCTTGATTTAAAGTTACTCATTAAAAAAAAAAAGTTACTCATTTATATTTAATGTACAAAACTAAATGAAACCTTAACTTCTAAACAGCAAGTACATGAAATAGAATCTTCTTAATAGGTAACCTATTTAAAACCAAAACCAAACAAACGATCAACCTAATTTCAGTAAATTTTTGCTTTTAAAAAATGGACTGTGGTGCAAGAGAAAGGCTGGAGGGGAATATATTTAATATAATTTGGGGCCAAATATTTAAACCAATATGGAAAGTGAGCCAGAGACATTTCATGTTCAAATGAATGATATTTTGCATTTATATAGCACCTTATATAGTCAAAGTGCTTCACAGTCTCTTGTTACTTGACAGCCATTCATCAACGTAAATAAACAGTTTATAATCTGTCAACAAATGTAAGCACTTTGGGGCAACCAAATACCGGAGAGAGAATCTACTCAGCAGCCAATTCTTAGACTCATCCACAGAATTAAGAAACAGACCTGTCATAAACGTCACACACAGGAAGTCACTTACTGATCTTAATGACTGGTATTAAAGATGTTAAGTATTAGGAATTAGTGAGAAACAGAAGGGTCTATATTAAGGAATAAGACAAATGAAGTGCAAGTCAGCAAGGGAATTACCCCGAAGGTAAGGCTACCTGTGACTCATAAGTTATATAAAAAATAAATCATTGAGACGTGGAGGGTGGTTGAAATTCAGTGTTAGCCCCATTGCAAGAATCTGATCCTCAGTTACTGTGATATTCCAAAACAAGAAAAAAAAAAAAATGTACTGCCTGATTTTTTTTCTTCTGTAATTTCTCCTTGAATAGCCTAACCAACACATTCACTTCTGCCAGCAAACAAGATAGCATGAAATAATGAAATTCTATTTATGTTTTAAAAATAGTTTCCAAATCTTCAGACAAATTTAATTTCCTATAAAACAATGTGAAAACTCATTTTTTTCCCTCTAAATAATTCTCCCAGGGGCCCTCGGTGACAGCTGATTAGCACCTCTGCCGATGTATTTATGTCTTTGCAAAAAGTGCACTTGCCAACCATTTTATATAGTAAATATGTAAGTTATCTGAAGTGCATTTGGAAAACAATTGAAAACACAGATTAATACATCATAAAAAGATCAATTCCCTTTAAACAAAGACATTCTTAGAAAGCATGGTAACACAGAGGCACGATAAAGAATATAAATTGTATATCAATTCTTGGCAGAAAATCTAATTCATTACAAAGCCTACACCATTGGGGAAAGGACATTTTCATACAAAGAAAAGTACTACACTAATATACAACACGTTTAATTGGGCATTTAAAAAGATTTTTTTGGCACATTAAAAGGAACTGAAAGGACTACAAAATAAAGGACTGAGAAACTAAAACATTACAGATATAGAAGAGATAAAGTCCTCAAATGAGACACGAGTAAATGGTAACATAAAGTAGAGACGAAATACAAGCGGGCTGAATTTCCTGAAACGCCGTTACATGTGACAGAAGTGTGTGTTGAACGCGGGTGTTCTGACCCCAGCGGCGGGACGCGTCTACCTTGCGGTGGCCGGCTGGACATGGCCCGGGTAAGACCGCCGCGTGCTGGTGGCCTGCCTTTGCCTCGCCAGGAACGACTGGCCCGACCCTGTGCTAGCAAGCCTGTCTTCAGCCGCCTTTTTGTGCAGAGTCATCCCCTACATCACAGGGAAAAGAAGTCATCAGGAAACGGGAACACACTCTCACAGCGGAAAACCATCATGCAGAATTTGTTACGTGGGGCCAGAAGGCACGATTTAATCTGTAATTCTCTTCATTACAGATTGAGGTCTTACAGATATTTTAGTTCCAACAATTAGGTACAAATCTTCCTGTGGAGAAATGAAGGCTGAATTTTCTGAATTTACAATAATCTGGACGGTAGATAATAAGAGATGGATCTTTGGAATTATATCACCCACATGAAATCATACACACTTCCCTTTCAGATCAGATGTATAAAGTGATTTTCCAAGGGAGAAAAAGGGTGATTGATTGGTAGCGGCTGATTCTGCAGGGTACGGAAATCACAGGGTTTAGGTGAATGGAAGACCACACAGCACTCGTTCTTTCTGAAGGCGGAGAGTCACACCAGGTGTAATACATACCACCGCGCTGCTTCTCTTCCCAGGCAGACTTGTGTTCTCAAGTTAAGGGGAGCTCCTGGCGGCCCCCAGCAGGGGGCCCACTTAGCGCAGGGGTCTTTCCTGAGGACAGAGAGGAGCCCACCCACGGGCCCACGACCTCGAACAGCGGGGAGGCAGCCTGCGGCCCTCTCTAAGCTGGGAGGAGCCAACAGTGAGCACTCTGAGCAGATGGGGAAAGATGGCCCCGGTGCCCACTGAATGAGCTGGAGAGAAGGCTGGCCAGAGAAACGGGAGGAGCTGAGGGCGGCTGGCTCCTCCCGCTGGTGACTGCAGACAAGACGATGGGAACAAGGGGACGCTGGCGACAAGGAGGCGGAAGGACCAGGGCTAGAAGGAGAGGCAGAGAGACACCCAGAGGAGCTGGGCAACCAGCACAGAAGACAAGATACACCTCCCATCACTGGTCAGCTCCACGGAAACAGGGGTCAGGGCTCAGCGTTTGAGGCAGACCCAACATCCTCCACTTTCCCAGTGAGAAAAGCCAGGATGCGTTTTTCACTCAGTTTGAAACTAAACCATTTAAGGATCTGAAGAAAATGGACAAGTATCTTTTGGTAATATTTAACCTACTGATTTGCCTACATATATTAACAATTATATTTAAAATATACCTATTTTTTCTTAAACTTTCATTATCAAAGCAACTTATTCAATTTCCTGACACACATTTAAGATCTCAGGATCCATCACAAGGCCATTCTCTGTGACACTTAATACCTTTCACCAGGTACTAAGCTACTCATCACCTTCACTTCCATTTCAGTTGTCTGAGATACAGAACTTTCTGAACGTATATATGACGCTTCTGCTGTTTGTTGCTTTAATCACTTAGTTACATCCGACTCTTTGTGACTCCATGGACTGTAGCCCGCCAGGCTCCTTTGTCCATGGAATTCTCTAGGCAGGAATACTAGAGTGGGTTGCCATTTCCTTCTCCAGGGGATCTTACTGGCCCAGGGTTGAATCCATATCTCCTGCAATGGCAGGTGGATTCTTTACCTCTGAGCCACCAGTGAAGCCCTGTGAAGCTTTTCCAGCTATCTTATCTGAACATAACTTGTGAGATCCTACTGGGAGTTATTCCTTCACTCTCTGCAGAGTTGAAAACTATCAATAGGATTCTTCTTTAAATACCACGTCACAGAGTACATCAGTTTGGTTCCATAAGAAACATAATATGTGAAGTCATGAAAATCAGTCACCTATATGAAATCACTAGTATGGACTGAGGGTCAGCGTTCCAAGGTTGCTACACTCACCCTGAAGGAGGTCAAAGAGGAACCAGTACAGGTGACATCAGGACCAGTTCCCAGAGACCTCCCTTAAATACAGTTTTTTCTTATTTTTTACATTTTATTTTCAATTAATCTATACTAACAGTAGTGATACCATAAATCCAGTAAGATTTCCTCTTTTCTTTTCTAAAATTGTGATAAAATCTTAAATATGTAGCTTTAACCAAGGCAAATAAATATAAATGTGGACATGCCATAAAATTGTGTGAATTTCTGACAAAAGCTCAAATTACACTATTAGCAGACCTGGGACACTAACCTTTAAGACACAGTAGCTGTAAAATGGCATGATTTACAATTGTAATTGTAAAATGGTATTGTGTCACGAACACAACTACAGGGTCAAATGGGTATGGGGAAAGGAATCTGTCGCAGGCAACTAAACTCACATCCTGAAAAGGCAAAAGTGGTCGTGTTGGGAAGAACAAAGAGGAAAAAGAAGGGCTTCCCTGGGTGGCTCGGCGGTAAAGACTCCGCCTGTCAGTGCAGGAGACATGGGCTCGAGCCCTGGTCCGGGGACCCCACACGCTGCGGGGCAACTCAGCCCGTGCGCCTATGCTCTAGAGCCTGGGAACTGCGACTACTGAGCCCACGGGCCCTGGAGCCTGTGCTCTGCAACGAGAGACGCCACGGCAGTGAAAAGCCTGCGCGCCCCAAATGCAGAGTAACCCCCGACCCCGCACTGCGGCTAGAGAAAGCCCACACAGCAACCAAGACCCAATGCAGCCCAAAATGAAATAAAGTTATTAAAGAGAAGATGAAAAGGTCTAGGAAAAAAAATATTGAAAAAAAGTACAGCATTCTTCAAAATCCATAGCTCTCCATATCTGGAAAAATCTTACTGAAAGTCAAAATGCTGGTGAGCATTTATTTTGCCTTGCAATATGTACATTTTTTGGGTATTGGAAAATTCAATTTCAAAACCTGCATTTGTTCAGGGTCCCACACTGAACATTTACCAAACCCTGTGAGACAGTTAAACTATCTTCGTTACAAGAACCACTCCTGCAAAGGCACTGAAATAGTCCCACAAAACAAAACCTACTCCATCTGTGTTTAGATATGACTGAAGTCACTACACCCAAGGACAAATGGTTCTGAGAGACAGAAATTTTCCCATCCTTCAGGACAGTGCCCACAGTGTTCTAACCCCGTTTATGGGTTCTTGTATCTGCTGTTCGGCCCTAAGATCAGCATTAGGGTTTTGTCAGTGTGTGTTAGGATGGCAGTTACTTTCAGATTCATTTGGTAGAAGGACTTCTACACTAAAGGCAGTATAACAAATAATACATACTCATTGAACTTTGCAAAGTGGTTTGACATGTTATTTTCTTACCATGTTGTACCAGGCACTGACAATGTATTTCTCTTCCATCTCTCTTTGACTCTTTGTTTTCTCATATTCTTTCTAAAAAGCAAACACATGTAAGCATGTAAACATGAAAAACATTCAACAGTAATAAAAATCTAATTCATGCCCATCTAAATTCACGGGCACAACTGTACAGTTGGCCCTCTACATCCACAGGTTCCGCATCCACAGAGTCAACCAACTCGGCACCCAAAACAGTAAGCACAGGGCTTTCCAGGTGGCTCAGTGGTAAAGAATCCTCCTGCTAATGCAAGAAACACAGGTTCCATCCCTTGGTCGGGAATGTCCCCTGGAGAAGGAAATGGCAACCCACTCCAGTATTCTTGCCTGAGAGATTCCATGGACAGAGGAGCCTGGTGGGCTAGAATCCACGAGGTCAGGGGTCACAAAGAGTTGGACACAACTTAGCGACTAAACAATGACAAAAACAAACAAAAAGCCATATATTCCAAAATAGAAAAAAACAGACAAACAAAAAAATCCATAGCATTTACACGGCATCAGGTATTACATTGCAGGCAGATTCGTTACCGCCTGAGCAACCAGTGAAGACCTTGCATAACTAATCTGGACATGGTTTAGAGCACATGGATGATGTGCAGAGACTGTATGCAAATAACCACATTCACTACTGTCTATAAGGGACTTTGCATCCACAGATTTTGGTAACTGTGCCCTGCAGATGTGGAGACTGGACATGGCAAAGCTTCTAGAATCAAAAATAAAAAAATCAAATGTCTTATCACATCATATAGAAAACTACCTCCAATGAATGGAATTGCCGGTCCCGTTCCTGGAGCTGATTTTTAAGAGCTTGTATTTCTGGTGCAGCTCCTTGATTTTGTTTAGGATCTAAAGTACGGATAACCTGCAGAAAGTAATAAAACAAAAAAGTTTAAGGCTCAAATCTACAGTGTGTGACATCTACGGCAGCAGTTAGTTAAAAAAAAGGATAAACCTTATGAGAGTCCAAAGCTATCTCACAAGGATACTTTTAAAATTTGAATGTATGAAATGATGTTCCATTGTTACAACCTTTAATTATAGAAAAGTTTAAAATTAAGTGAAAGAGTCCATTATAAGAAGTAATTCTGGCTTAAAATTCATCAATCACAGTACAGTAGACATAACTGACGGCAGGCTTCCTTTTTCTGTTCTTCTGAACTGATTCAGAGACCTCTGCCTCTGGCCAGATGTGTGAGCCCAGCCATGGGTCTCCATGTCTATACGCCTGTCACTGTGACAGTCTCCTCTGCCACAGGCTGGGGTTTAGACTCGGGTGGGGGACACAGGTCTAGCTGGGACACCTGTGGGCTTCCAGGAGGGGTCTTTTTGGCCCATCAGTTTACGGTCAAAACCAGTCAAGCCTGCAGAAAACTTGTAAGAGCAGAACAGTGAGAGCACATTTCCTTTAACACAGTCTTCTTGGGCTCCCCCTCCACTCCAATGCCTATTTCTACTTTTCATAACATGGATTTTCACCCCAAAATCTGGATTTATCCGGTGACTTTCTAAAGGTAATTTATTTAACCTGTTCCAATAACCTCATTCTCCCTGGGAATTGGCAGCTAGGCCCAGAAGCCAGTTTAGATTTGGGCTGACCACAGCTGAGGCTCTTCAGGAGGCAGAGGTCAGGCCTCCTAGGGCGTGCAGTTAATCTTCTGTTTCGGTCGCACAGTGCGGCATGTGGGATCTTAGTTCCCTGACCAGGGATCGAACCCATGTCTCCAGGCCTTGGAAGTGTGGAGTCTTAACTACTGGATCACCAGGGAAGTTGCTCATGCAGCTAACTTGAACTATTAGGCAAGGTGAGGACTGCCCCTCCTCTCCTACAATGAAAGGTGCTTTCTTCTTGATAACGAGGAAGTAGCCCGGGGGTGGGGCACCGTTTCGGTTCATCTCCTCATGGTCTGAGAGGTTATGGTTCAGGCGTGTATCATGAGAATCACGAGATGTCAGTAAACCATGATCGGAAAGCAATAAGACTTGCAGACTCACACTTACACTTTTGGCTTTCTCTAGGTATTTTTTATATCGTTCTTCCATTTGCTTCATTTCCTCTTCTTTCTTCCGTAAAGCTTCTTGTAATTCTTCAATTTTTAAGGCTATTGATGAGACAGTAAAAAAAAAAAAATTTTTTTTTTAAGACCATAACAACTTTAAAAATACTTCAACTGACAAAACAGTAAATAGTTAACAGCTTTGAGAGATTGTTTGGTCTATTCTTATATATAATTTTATTTTTAAAAATTCACAATCTTTTTTTTTTAACAGAAAGCTTTTCTTAGAAATAAAAACTATACTATGGAAGTACACAAATTATAAAAAACATTCATTGAAGGCTAAAGGGATAACAAAATGTGGTCTATGTATACAAATAGTTGAATATTATTCAGCTTCAATCCTGATACACGCTTCAACATGAAGTGAAAATGAAAGCCATTATGCGAAGTGAAATAAGCCAGACAAAAAGGGACAAATACTGTATGATTCCACTTATACGCGTTGTATACAAGAGTCAAATTGCAAGGGACTGAAAGCAGGATGGAGGTGACCAGGGGCTGGGAAGACAGGAGGTGTGGAGTGGGTGTTTAATTAGTAGAGAGTTTCAGTTTGGGAAGATGAAAAAGTTTGGGAGATAGACAGTGGCTGTATGACATTGCAAATGTACTTAACATGTCACTTAACTGTATACTTAAAAGTGGTTAAAATGATCATTTTTTATGTTATGTATATTTTACAACACGAAAAAAGTAAAAGTTTGTATTGCTCCTGCCTCCACACAAAAGGATCGATGGTCAAGTTACCTACATGTGCATATATTAATAAAAGTAAAATAGTTTGGCTGATATACTGCAACTACACTATGAAAATAACTTCATAAAATATTCATTAGCATTCATAGTTAAGGAAAAACCACAATGGAATTAGAAATCTAAGAACTGTTGTACCGATGATCACACACACACACATACTCTTTCTGTGCTCTCTGTGAACAGGGCACGTTCCTTAATCGCTAGAAAATATAATAGGGCCTATTTCTAAAAGAACAAAGTTTTACATAAACTCATTACCATGAGGGTAATGCATGCCTAACCAACTGAAAACTCTGATAATCTGGAAAAACTCACAGCTGTTGTTAAATCTTGGTTCAAGATCTTCAATGATGGCCCTCTTCTTCTGGAGCTCATTATTGGCTTCATGCAGCTTCTCTCTGTACCAAAATATACAACTGTGTCACCTACTACTGTTTTGCATTTTCTTCACTTGAAATGAAAGAGGTTAAATTCTTTATTCTTAGGATACACTAGCATATAGCACACAAATGCTATGAAACAAAGATGAAAAGACTTAACCAACATATTAATATTTTCTAAACGACTAAAAAAGAGAGACAAAAATCTCAGAGTCTGAGATAGAAGTCATTCTCTCATATAAACCTTCAGCCCAGGGGGCCAAATTCAGCCCGTGGCCCGTTTCTGTGTAGAAAGCTTTTAGGACACAGGGCCTTGGTTTACATACTGTCTGTGGGTGCTCTCAAATCAGAATTAAGTGGTTGTGACACAGACTACGTTTTGTAAAACCTAAAGCCACTGCTTGCTTGTTCCTTACAGAAAACGTTTCTGACTCCTGACCCAGAGGGTCACGGAGTCCTACCTGGGACAGTAACTACTACGGTCAAGACTTGTTTTTAGCCTTGCAGCTTCTGCTAATTTGTCACGGAAGCCGTGGGGAACTAACACAGGCCTCCTCTTCACTAATCAGGTGTTTCTGAGGAAGATTTTTACCACGTAACTGACTGAACACAGAACCATGGTCAGGTAGCAGTTTTATGAAACAACAGGCATTCCATTTTCTGCATCAAAGGGGTGGGGATGGCAAAAGGGCAGACTCCAGCATGGAATTCTCACTGCGGGGGACCCCCAGTGGCTGGGAGGTGACAGGTGCTGTTCCAGAAGTTTAAGCACCTGCCCAGGGTCAGACTTGCTACCAACTGTCAGTGGCCCGGAGCACTCACTTCTGCCACATTAAAGAATCTGGACAGCACGCAGCGAGCTGCCGGACCGGAGAATTCTTCCCAATCCCTGCAGGACATGTCACGTGAGCTCTGAGGTACCCAGGGTGTCTGGTTCACCACAGCCCACCAGTGGAACACTCCACCAGGCTGGCAACCCATGGCCACCCACACTCAATGTCTGTAAGGACAGAGTTTGGCCAGGGTACGACAGATAGAAGGACTAAAGTTGATAACTAGGTGTGAGAGAAATCACAAAACATGCCTAACATCGTCAATCTCCGATAAAGAGGGACAAACACTTCTTCATGAGAAAACAAATGTCGTGTTTTAAAATGGAATCGTCTAGATTAAAAAGTTGTGTTCATTGCATGCTTGCAATGCAAGGAAGTCTTTGAAAAGCTGCTACTGTGACAAGCTTAATGATACTTTAAAACATTTATATAAAAAGGAAGGTTCAGCTGGCCACAGGCTCTAGAGCTGGGAGAGTACAGTCCAGGGGGCCAAATTCAGCCTGAGGCCGGTTTCAGCATAGAAAGCTTTGGGCACACAGTCACAGCACTGGTTCTACACTCACACTATCCACGGCTGCCTTCGAACCACAGCTAAGTGGCTGTGGCACAGACCATGGTCTGCAGAACCTGAAGCAACTGCTCTCTGTTCTTACAGGAAACATTTCTGCCTCCTGATCCGGAGGGTCACACAGTCCTACCTGGGACCATAAGTACTACTGTGAAGACAGAAAACTCTGGAAGCTCACGTGAGAACACAGTTCTAATGCAGCAATTGGTCTGATTCAAGGACCTTGGGGGGAGATGACCCGTTAGACCAGGAGACCCACAAACCCTGGGCCACAGGCTGGCACCCGTCCGTGGCTGGTCAGGAACCAGGTGGCAGAGCAGGAGGTGAGCAGCCAGCGAGGAAGTCTCACTGTATTTACGGCCGCTCCCCTCTGCTCACAGTCACACCTGAGCTCCGCCTCCCATCTGTTCAGCAGGGGCATTAATAAATGTCACGTGCTTGAATTATCCCAAAACCATCTCCCCCTCTCCCCGTCCGTGGAAAAACTGTCTTCCATGAAAACCAGTCACTATTAACGTGTCTCATGATCGTCTCTACCTGGAGGGCCACCCGGACCCCTGCCTAGATGCTTTGTAGCCACCAACACAAAATATTTCTGCTTCTCTGGACACCCCAACAATGGGCCGCAACAGTTTTTATACTCACAGATGCTCTTCAAGCTTCTTTTTTAGAAGAACTGACTGAAAATGGAAAATAGAAAATAGTTTATTACTTGACATTTTAACGAATACATTAATTACTTTTTTTTAAAAAATGAAGAGCACTTGTTCAGGGTAGCAAGTAACTCTGAGCGAGCCCTCAGTAAGTTCTCTGATCAAAGTCTGAAAAGACATGATGTACCCAAGTTTGTTTCTCTCTGATAAGGGAGACAACAGCTCAAAAGTGATAGCAATCAGTATAGAAAACCCCAAAACTGCATATCTGAATTCTCTATTTATAGCCAGGGAAATGAATAAAAGAGTCCTTTAGGTACAGACCTAATGTTCCTGGACACAATACGCAGGTAAAGTCTAATAATAGCAACAGACTTGCCCTAAGACACTTTCTGGGCTTCCCTGGTGGCTCAGAAAGTAAAGAATCTGCCCGCAAAGCAGGAGAACCAGGTTTGAGTCCTGGGTCAGGAAGATCCCCTGGAGGAGGAAATGGCAACGCACTCCAGCATTCTGGCCTGGGACAATCCCATGGACAGAGGATCCTGGTAGGCTATAGTCCATGGGGTCACAGAGTCGGACACAACTGAATGACAAATACATACACAAGATACTTTTTGTCCACTGTGTTATTTTCCCTGCGTCATGAGATCAACTTCTGTAAACAATGAGTGACTTAATCCGAGATTTCTGATAAGCACAGGCTGGAAATAACTAATATGATGGAATGGGAAAATGAAAGATAAGTTAGCCACAGCATTTAACATGCTGGGGAATGCAGCTTTGATTGGGTATTAAAAAAAGTCTCCTGAGATGCAGGAGGTCAGAATGTACGCAAAGAATAATGGCATTCTATACAGGACCGCCAGGTTTCAGGATCAAACTCAGTACTAGTGGGGTACATATTATGAATGAATTTTATGAAGCAGTTCATGTTGAGATACATGGTTACATAATTAATTCGGCCGGATTCAAGTAATATGGACTTAGAAAACAGACTGTCCAATCAGTGCAGGGCCGCACGGGGGGGCACACCCCTCACACCAGGCCCTTCCAGGTTCAGCCCCGACTCGATAATGATGGCTGTAATCGCTTGCTCCACCTCACTCTGACCCAGCCCTGGACTACTGACATGCCCTGCTCTGCTGAGCGTGTCAACTGCAGCCAGGGGAATGGGCCACAGTGCTCTCCACCACTGCGTCCCCCAGGCACAGAGAAAGACACCAATCCTGCTGGCTTTTGATTACTGCCGTCCCTTCTCCAGTGCCAAGGGTGAAACGAACACACTTTCAAAAAACATCTTCGCTTTCATTGTGCATTTATGTTTTGATTAGGCTCTAAACAAAATTCATTGTCAATGTTTATTCTGAGATAGTATGCAGCAAGTAAGATGATGATTTAATGAGCGGTTACCAGGCCGGGCACAGCACCGAAGCTTGTCGTGTGCGCTGACTCGCGGCAACCTCACCACAGTGCGTGCCACCAACCCCTCTTGGGGACGAGGAAGGTGAGGCTGGGGGGATGCCCGGGCGTTTCCAGAGGCAGAGCCCGCACTAGAGCCCAGGCCTGCAGACCCAGAGTCTATGCACGGGCTTCATGCTCATGCCTCCTGGGCCACATGCCTTTCCAGCTGAAGACTGGTTCTCTCATAAAGTGTGGCAGGAGGCGGCCAGACCGTGGCAGCAAGCTCGCGTCAAAACACTTTATAAAGACAAACCAATTACAACACTGGGGTGGGAGCGCGGTGGGGAGAGAAAGGAGCTGAGTTCCTTTTAGTCTGACTTGTTAGGTTTTTGATATCCTTTAAGTATCTGAATTGTAAAGGGCACAAACCTATAGGTAATATTGGTTATCTTCATTTTGCATAGAAGCCCCGTAATTTAAAATTTCAACAACATCAACTATGATGGCAGATAATGCATACATCAAAACACTGCTCAATATATAGAAATGAATAGGAAGCCATACTTACAATAGCCTTGAGCAGAAACCATGCCAAGAGACAGAGAAGACACATTAGTATGAAGCATACACAGCAGCCAACAGAAGGAACGATTTAGTAATTCATGAACAGAAGTAAAAGATATGCATTTTGTTCAAAAAATGTACATTTTTCTTTCTTCTATGATCTCATCCTGTCTTGTTCTCTGGAGTTTTATACACTGTGGCTAGCTCAAATTATCCATATGCCTGGATAGAACCAATGCTTTTCTGCTTCCACGCTAAAAATAAATGACATAAAAATAATAATAAAAATGTGCAAACCATGCTACTCTGCCTTAAGGTCACACGACTGTGCTTTTGATAACAGAAATGGGCGGAAATTGTGCTGTTCTTCAGAGAGGACCCATCCCACTTGGCAGGTGGTTCTATGCATTACATGTTTGGAGAGGCAACACTGTAGGCTGAGCGAGAGACAGAAGACAAAAGCATGAAACATCTGCTGGGGAAGAACCACATGGCATGGACCACATTTCCCTCCAGCCTATGGTCAGAGTGAGGAAAGCTTCTATCTGAATCTTTATAGAGTGGAGAGTTCTGAGAGGAACTTCAGGAATTTACAGCAAAACATCTCATTAACACTGAACAGTCAATTAAACTGGGTCATTTATGCCAACAGTACTTTCAGGGTTGGAAACTCATGTCTGAAATGTCGTCTCTTGAAGTAGTGACACGCAGCGTATTTAATTAGATTTCATTCCCACAGTGATACCTAATCAAGCCACGTAAAATTATTTTTTGTAGAATAAATCTCTTTCTGTGTGCTTTAATATTAGAGAAACAAGTATAGCGGTTATTGTTCTAACACTAAGGTTGAGGAGATACTGATGTTTTGTCATATTTACTTCCTATGACCCACACATTCTTCTCCTCTCTGCCGTAACAGACCAACAGGAAGTCTCCTCAGAGTTTCCAAGACCAAAACCAAGTCTACAGTTACCTCAGTTTAAGGGACCTAGTGGTTCCACTGAACTAAGAAATGTCACTTTGGTTCACCTCTAAGACCCTCTTGGTGAGGTTTACTAGTATTTTCACACACAAATGCTGGCTCTGCTTGTCATTTAGCGTTCTGGATAAAGGCATGTGTAAAAAGTAAACTAGTTCCACTTTAATAAGGGAATGAGGTAGTCTAAACATTGGTGAGAATCTGGGGAACTGGGAATTCACGTGGGGCGCTAAGAAGGACTACACATTAGAGGATAAGCTGCAACCTGTGACCTCAGAGAGCACGTGGCCAGCGTAACCCAGATGGTGCACGCTTAAGAAACCCAAGAAATCATCAGGTCATGGATGAGCTCTCGTATCACACCCTCAGGCCTTAAGCAATGCCCTCTTAGGTTACTAAGGCTGGATGAAACTGGATGGGTCTACAGTTTTGATGCTGAGTGCCCAGAATGACTCCAACAATGAGAATAACCAAACAGGTTTATACTTAAAAGTCAGCGGATTGCGCTGGCAATGGGAAAAAAATCACCACCTGATGGAAGCAAAGATTGGTCACGAGCCTTCAGTTTTTATCCCCTCTTCAGGTTAGTTTTGAGCACTCTGCAAGTGTAGCTCTATTGTATACAGCTCATTAAATGTACAGGATTTGCAAAATGAGACTGGTGCACGCCTTTGTTAGACTGACTGCTACGTGCTGCGTGAGCACCTTGATGTGCGGGGAGCAGGAGGAGGTGAAGGAGGAGCTGTTTCTGCCTCCACATTCTTGCTGTATCCTAGGCGAGCGCCTGTCGAGCAGGCAGGGCTGTGACAGAGGGGCAGAGGGAAAAAAGGTCAATGAGCTTCTATCTGAGCGTGTGTGTGTGTGGCCAAGTGCAGGGGTAGAAAGAGGGACTCATAAACCCAGAGAGGGTAGGATTCTAGGAAGGGCATTATTTTCTTAAAGCCAAATTTTATATCAAACATTGCTACCTGAACATGCTAAGATTCTATCAGCACTTTTTTTTCTTTTTTTTGACCAGAAGGAAAATCAATACTTCGAAAACTGAGTTGAGCATGTATGGAACACAAAAGCCTAATTCCTTAGCTAAAAACTACAAATGAAATTCTAATTCCTAGCAGGGTGGATCTGAATGAAACAATAAAGTCTGGTCTTTTCATAAGGACTATCAGTAAAAGGAAAATATTGTTTCTTTTCTATAACCAATATAATCAGAGTTATTTTGATAGAGATCATAAAAAAATGTTATAGCTTTCCTAAACATTATGAAACTGTTGGACCATTACTGTATAAAATAAGACTTACATCTTCTGCCTTTGAGCCTTGATCTTGTAAAGATTTTTGTAGTTCTTCCACTTGTGACTGTACTTCCAGGAGTCTTTGATTCACCAGCCTAGAAATCAAACATACATTAATATTCCAAGTTCTGACTGAACTTATACCTTTTGCCTTAGGTTTTCATATAATGAGCAAAACAAAGTCTCGTATTACAGTCGTATCAATTCACTTTTGTCATTATTTTTTGTATAGCTTGAAATTTCGATGATGACATCCAATGCAGTGTTTTTGATAGACACATTGTGTTGAGCTGGTATACTGATGCACATATATTCGTTTGAAATTCACTTCAGTATACATTTATTCAAATGAGTGCTCAGTGTAGTGGTAAAAGATCCTTGTGGGATGTCCCTGGTGGTCCGGTGGTTAGGATTCAGCACTTTCTCTCCCAGGGACCTGGGTTCAGTCCCTGGTCAGGGAACTATGATTGGGCAAGTCTCCGGGCGCAGCCAAAACACAAAAACAAAAAACCTGCACTTGGGGAGGCAAAATGTAAACAAATAATATACGAGATAAATACTTCAACACAGCACACAGAAGTACCGAGAGGAGTGATAACTGCTCAGAGAAGCGAGGACCACACCTCAGAGTGTGGAGGAGTCAGGCTTCACCTGAACTGAGACCAGAACAACAAATAAAATGCCTGTGTGGTCAGTGGTGGAGAGGGGATTCAGGACCGAGGATTCAGCGCGTCCACAGGGCACAGAAAGGGAGCAGGTACGGTGAGCTCAGGAATGATGTGGCTGAGTTCTGCGCTGTGGCTACGTGATGAGGGGAAGGAAGCCTGGAGATGAAGCCAGAGGAGAGGCTGGCCACCGTGTGTGAAATTCAAGTGTGTTTTCATTTATCCTATGCTCAGTCGCGCAGCTGTGATTGAGTCTTTGTGACCCCATGGACTGTAGCCCGCCAGGCTCCTCTGTCCATGGGATTTCCCAAGCAAGAATACTGCGGCAGGTTGCCATTTCCTATAATCGGGTCTAAAATTTGGTTGCAAGGGAATAGCCCAGCCAGCCTTTAAAAATGCTGACTCTGGAGCTCAGTCTCCACAAATTCTCTAGATCATTAGGCTGCAACAGTCGGGGGACTAGCGGGTCTTGGGTGATGTTGAAGGAGCCGACAGTATTTCAGAAAGATCATGGTGCCGGGCAAGTCGAAGAGATCATTTTGGAAGGCGGAGAGCAGCAGGACAGCAGGAAGCCCGGGCAGAGGCCACCGCAGTGATGACCACGCGTCCCTGAAACAGAAGGGGTCCGAGGAGGAGAAGAACAGAAACCACAAACGAACAGAAGGAGCAAAACACAGCTGAGGATTTGACTCTCTGCGACCAAGAACTACTTCCTGAGAAAGGGAACACAGGAGGACAGGCTGAGCCAGAACACGAAGAAACGTGCTCGGTATTTGTTGAAAATGAAGTGATGGGAAATGACTGTTACAGCGGCTGGACCCTTGCAACTGGCGCCCAGCAGGAGGGCGGAGCGGGCCCTGCAGACCCGAGGGCCGCCTGGCGACGACTGGAGCCGTGAGCGTGAACGACAGTGGCCGCCGCGAGTGCAGCCCAGTGCACAAGAGACCAGCAAGGTCCCCGGCAGATCGCCAAGCAGAGGGCGGAAGGGACGGCTCACCCTGGAGAGGAGCCAGGGACTCGGAAGGAAGGAGCGAGGGCTGCTCCTGAAGCCGAGAAGAACCGAGGAGGGGGAGGTGACCGACAGTGAACACGGCAAAGAGGGGAGGAAGAAAAGGCCAGGACGCCCCCACGGGGCTGGCGGTTCTAGTCATTACACCTCAGGAAAAGTCAGATGCCCCCCGTTAAGGACAAGACAGGACAGTGACGATTTAGAATCCAAACAGCCAGGAATTTCAGCGTGAAACTTTTTACTCAACAAGAAATTCTTATTAGAAACCTCCAGGTGCTATAATTTAGTGAGATTCACAGTAAAGATATAATAAACCTATAATAATAATTGGTAATTTTTCACACGAAGGAATCGCTTTTCCACTCAGTGAAAGAATTATCTGAAAATTCATATTCAATATGGGAACAGAGGTACAGAAGTATATTACTGACTGTAACTTTCTTTACTCTTCTCAGGAAGCAATACAGAAAATACATCAAACTATAAGACTATTTCAACTTTCCATCCTAGCGATTTTTGAAATTTATTCAGTCAACAAATATTACTACTAGTGGAGGCCACTGTAAGTGTCATCACACACAATCTAAAATACTGGTTAAAGTATTGCTCAAGCATGTACACACATGTATGAAGCTAAAAAACGTACGTAAATATATATGAAAAGGTTCACCAACAAAAGGAGTGATGGGTTATAATGCCGACCTCGCGCGAGAGAGATTCTGATGTGGCTGTATGGTGGACACTTCGTGCCTCTCCTAATACTGCTGGAGGGTCAGCAGGTATCACGGATTCTAACAAATGCCAAAACTAACTGGAAAGGACTTTGGAGGCTGAGCTCTCCTTCTAAGGTGAGGTATGTTGTGAGCAAATCGGATTTATGGTCATACAGCTCCAAGACTCAGTGAGACTGAAACTCTGCTTGTTTGATGCGAGTCCAGGGCTGTCAACCCGCAGGAGGTTAAGGTAGAGACCAGGTAATGTGCGTACTTACTAACCTCAGTAAGACAACACATGATAATGCACCTAAGAGGAAAAGCATCCAGTGAGCGGAAGACGTCAAAGAAAATGTTTTACAAATGTGGCAGAAGATAAACTGGTTGACGAGAGGCTCTGAAGTCAGGTGGCCTGGGTCTCAGTCCAAATTCCTCCATCTGCAAAACTTTAATAAAGTAAGACCACATGTTCAAAACACTCAGCACAGTGTTTGGAACAAAGAGTGGCTTAATAAATGCTAGCTGCTATTATTATTATTACTGTGGCAGGTCATAAAACCCACAGATGGCTATGATATACAGGTAAGTTATTGGTGTTGCAATCTGATAAACCAAATAACAGGCACTTGGGAGGTAACCAGTCATCTGTATGTACAAGTGCTGTAATACGAATGACAGCTAGCCGTTCTGTTTTTAAGGAGGAAAGGGCAAAAGCTGTTAGTAAGGCCTGTGAAAGATATGGCAAAGTGTTACAGAAGGTGTAGTAGGTGTTGATTCACTGACAAGAAATCAGTGTCGGGAGAAGGCTCTCCTGACTAAGATGCTAAGATACAGAGGAGGCCGAGGATGGAGGGGTAATTCAAGATGCTCTCAGCTGGGCTCTGCATGATTGCCACCTATTTTCCACTGTTCTTATTCCTCTCCCTTCTCTTTTCCCACTTTTTCTAAGTATTTTTTTAAATAAAGTACTCTATGCTCCTAACAGTTGATATGCAAATGTCTTCTTATGTTTATATTCAATTACGCTCTGATACCTCACCCTGTGATATACACTGTTTGCTGACTCTCCCTCGGCAGGTTTAAAAATTAAAGTCACAGGAGGAAAGGTGGAGTATGTAAACCTGTCATAACAATTTTGACTCCCAAGACTGACTCATACCTGGAAAATGCCGAATCTATCAGGCATAATAAGCAAGGAATCTGTAATATCACATCAACTGTGAAACTATTTATGAAAATGTCAAACCCCTCAAAAAATGACAGAATATCACAGCTCTAAGAGAAAGAAAAGACACCATATGTCTGGGATCTAAGCAACGTTTCCAAAAAGGGAAAGAATCAGAAGGTTGTCACAACAAAATATAAAAGTAACCCTTGCCCGAGTGAGAACTGCTTTTAAAAGCAGTTGGAATGAGACTGCCTATTGCAACACTCTGAGAACTTACAAGCAGCAGAGTGATATGCTTATTAGATTTGCAGATACTAAATTCTCAGAATAATTGCATTATTCATAAGATGGATGATTTCCAACTAGAGTAGCAAGAATTAACAGATTAAAAAAAGAAAGCTCTATCAATTCAGTTACGAGGGATCCCACTGTGCTCCTTACACCAACTGAGTCTTTGAAACATCAGCTTGTCTACACAGGGCAAACTGATTAATCTGATCATGACGATGAAGTAAAAGTGTCTCCAAAGACTGTCAATTAATGGTGACGTGATTTTATCCTCTAGGTTTTTTTTTTAAATGATTTTGTTTATTTCTGAGTAATTAATTTTGCCTTTGGCTGCGCTGGGTCTTCACTGCTGCGTGCGGGCTTTCTCCAGCTGTGGTGAGTGGGCTTCTCTCTCATCGCTGAGCCTTCTCTTGTTGCTCCAGGGTGTTTGGGCTTCGGGAGCTGTGTCCCCGGGGCCCTAGAGCACGGGCTCAGGAGGTGTGGTGCATGGGCTTCGTTGCTCCTTGGCACCTGGGGGCTTCCTGGACCAGGGATCAAACCCGTGTCTCCTGCATTGGCAGGCTATTTAAGCTTCTAGTTTTAATTAGTGATTAGGAAGGGGAAATGGCAGGACTTTCCTATCATTTTGCCTGAAGAACTGAAGATGGGGCCGCTATCACAGAGACACAGCCCTTTTGGGCATATCTGCCCGTAAGTGGAAAAAAGTACTCGTGATATGAAACAGAGGAAAACACTCTCACTTGCACCCTACAGCTCAGATCTATGTTTAAAGGGATCAGATCAGGGTGAGTGGAGTGGCCACCACGCCCTCACCTGTTCTCCGTCTCCAGCTCGTTCTTGCGGAGGTTGGCGTCATCCAGAAGGCTCTGCAGCAAGGCGATCTTCTCGTTGTCAGAACCCTCCTGGTTGATTTTCAACATCTTATTTTCATGCTGTAGACGAATGAGCTTCTCCCTGAGTGGAAGAAAAACTGATTAACACGGTTATCAAAATCCAGCTAGGCGCCGTTACAGATTTAATATGTAGAACAGAAATGAAAAAAAAAAAAAAAGAATCTGCAAGAAATTTAGCACCTAACTGGCTAAGATGTCATGTCTCAGGTCTTAAGCCCTTTCTTTTTTTTTTTTTCATTTATTTTTATTAGTTGGAGGCTAATTACTTTACAATATTGTAGTAGGTTTTGTCATACATTGACATGAATCAGCCATGGAGTTACATGTATTCCCCATCCCGATCCCCCCTCCCACCTCCCTCTCTACCCGATCCCTCTGGGTCTTCCCAGTGCACCAGGCCCGAGCACTTGTCTCATGCATTCAACCTGAAGCCCTTTCTTTTTATAATAGAATTGACAGTCTGAAGATAAACAATCTCCAAACATCATGATGTGTAATGAATGAGGTTTCAAAATCCCATTTCCTTTCTGATTTAAACATTTACACATTCTGCCAAACTGCTCAAAAGAAAAGCTATATAACCACAAGAAAAAAAAATTTTTTTTGTAGTTCTTTGTGGCGATGGATACTAACTGAACTTACTATGGCGATCATTTCACAACATATACCTATCAAACCATTATGTTGTACACCTAAAACTACTACAAAGTTATATGTCAATTATATCTCAATTAAAAAATTTGTATCTCTTTAGTTTATGAGGTTTCTAACTTTTCCACACCCTTAACATTAGTGAAAATTATCACTTTTAATAGATTTTTGCAAACTGTGAAAGACAATCTCACTATGTATCAAGAATGCTGACCTATGTCAATACTGGTCTATTAATGTGTTGAGAAGTTTCACCCCTTGCACTGTTTCACCTTGGTAGCTCTTGTAGACACACAGTGTATTTTAATTTGTACTGAGTAATACTCTATAAAAGCTATTTGTTGAATTTTCATCATTGTTCTTTTCTCTCAATTAAAAAATCCGACTTCATTACCTATAAGCTTCCTTAAAATTTGATTTTCGGACATAATCATTTATTTACAGGGACTTCCCAGGTGGCACTACTGATAAAGAGCCTGCCTGCCAATGTAGGAGACGCAGGTTTCATCCCTGGGTCGGGAAGATCTGGAGGAGGAAATGGCAACCCACTGCAGTATTCTTGCCTAGAGAATCCCATGGTCAGAGGAGCCTGGTGGGCTACAGTCCATTGGGTTGCAGAATCGGACAGGACTGAAGTGACTTAGCATGCAGCATGTATTTATTTATAAACATTCAAAAAAACAAGTATTTATTTGTGAAACAAATTTTATTGGTCCAATAATAAAGTACCATATCAGATGGCAAAAAAGTAAAAGGTATTCAAGATGCTTCCAGAATTGGTGTTGCATCACACACCTTCTGTCCTTAAACAAATGCTAACAATAATAAATATTGTCTTCATTTATTCAACAAGTGTTTGAATGCCTATGGCAACTTTCACAGTTTATAAAACTTTTACATTCATAACCGTTATTTTAGCAAATACCTCCAAGGATGCTATCAAGAATCAAGACCTAGTGTCGAATTAAAAAGGGGGCAAACTAGCCCAAATAAAGTAAAAGCAATATTCAGGATTAATCGTTAACCTTTTGCTGGACAGTTGATGCTTTCCAATCAATTATTCATTCTTATGCATAAAGCCAGGCATACACTAAAATAAATGGAATATTTAAAATACAAATGTAAGGAACTACTGAGGGAAGAGCAATAGAGATAGGGCGATGTTTCCTCCTGTCTCTGCTTCTGTCTTCCCCAGACCATTCCCCACACTTAGGTAATAAATCTCGGCGACTAAGTATTTTGCAGGCTGATGGCTAAGCATAACCTTTGTCTTTGGACCAAGTGGTTTCATGGCTAAATGTCTGCCGAGGCTACCCAAGCAGAGATGTGTTCATCTGCTGTGTATGTGTGAGACCCCGTCCTCCCCAAGAGAGAAACCAAGCCTCTGCAGGGCCAGCTGAGAAGGTCTCTAACGTGCAGAAATGAAGGATACAGAACCTCGAGTTCAGGTTGAAAGCGTTAGTGATAAAGAGTAAGTAACTGGTCCTCTATATCACAGAGGAGTAAGTTTTCTACAACAATACTGTGAAGTGTGACTGGACTTCACCATCTCCTTACCTGATTTCTGGTGTGACGATCTCTGCTGCAAGACTATCTGAAGACTCCTGACTTCCCAGAGGCATCAACCCTATAAACACACAAGCATTGATTCAAGGTTAAGAGAGACCACAACTACCTCCTTTAGTCCCTATATGAACCCTACTTTGAGCATTAAGGTATAAAAACTACATCACAATTGCCTTCCATCATCATCATTATTATCATGTTAACATTTTTAAGTGTACAGTTGAGTAACGCTAAGTCCTATGCTGGCACTAAGGCACTATCTTGTGGAACCATCACTACTGCCTATTTCCAAATGCTTTCATCACTCAATACGTAAAATCTGGAACCATTAAGCAGTAACCACTCCCCACTGCGTTCTCCCTCAGCGCCTTGTAACTTTAATTCCGATGTCTGCCCATTCATACCGGTATCTGTCCTGTGTCTGGCTCACTTGACCCAACATGCTGTTTTCAATATTCATCTACATTGCAGCATTTATCAGAATTTCATCTCTTTATATGGGCCCAACAATATTCCATTATACATATGTATCGCATTTTCTTTATTTATTTATCTGTTGATGGACACATGGGTTGTTCTCACCTTTGGGCTACTGTGAATAATGCTGCTGTGAACACTGGTGTACCAGGATCTAGTTGAGTCCTTGCTTTGATTCTTTTGGGTATATATTTAGGAATAGACTTTCTAGATCGTATGGTAACTTTGTTTAACTTTTTATTATAAAGAACCACCAAACTATTCCACAGTGGCTGACCTATCTTACATTCCCACCAGGATTGCAAGAGGGCTCTCATCTCGCCACATCCTCATCAACTCTTGTTATCTCCCTTTTCTCTCTTTTTTGATGACAGCCATCCTAATGGGTATGAAGTGGTACCTCAACTGTGGGTTTGATCTGCATTTCTCTAATGACTAATGATGTTGAGCATTGTTTCACAAACAAACACTGGCCATCTGGATATCTTCTCTGGAGAAACATGTCCTTAAGTCCTTTGTTTGCTGCTAAGTTGTAGAAGTCCTTTATACTCTCTGGACATCAATCACTTATCAGATAAATGATCTGCAAATATTTTCTCCCATCTTGCACATTACCTTTTCACTCTGTTGGTAGTGATCTTTGATACAGAGAAGATTTTAATTTTGATGAAGTCCAGTTTACCTATTACTCCTTTTGCTGCCTGTGCTTTTGGTATCAATTCCAAGGAATCACTGCTGAATCCAACATCATGATGATTCTCCTCTATGTTTTCTTCTTAAAGTTTTACAGTTTTAGTCCTTACATTTAGGGTTCCATTTTGACTTCCTTTTGTATATGGTGTAAGGGTCCACCTTCATGCTTCTGGATGTGGACATCCAGCTTTCCCAGCACAATCTACTTGAAAGACTTTCCTTTCCCCCACTAAGTTGTCTTGATGCTCCTGTTGAAAATCAACTGACTGTCTACGGGAAGGTTTACTTCCAGGCTCTTTACAGTCTACTCCATTGGTCTGTACGTCTGTCCTTTCACCTATACACACTGTTTGGATTACTCTAACATTTTACTAAGTTTTAAAATCAGGAAGTGTAAGTCCTCAAGCTAAATTTTTTCTTTTTCAAGATTGCTTTGGCTTTTCAGGATCCCTTGAAAGTATACGTAAACTTTAGGCTGGGTTTTTCTATTTCGGCAAAAAATACTATCAGCATTTTTATAAGAATTGCACTGAATCTGTAGATTGTTTCGGTGATGTCATCTTAACAATATTAAGTCTCAAATGAACATGGATATCATCCCATTTAGGTTTTGATTTTTTTCAGTAGTGTTTTGTACTTTTCAGGGTAGAAGTGTCTTTCTGGTTAGATTTATTCCCAAGTATTTTATTCTTTTTAATCCTACTGTAAAACAAAGCGTTTTCTTAATTTACTTTCCATATTGTTCACTGCTAGTGTATAGAAATGTAACCCACTTCTGTGGTTTGATTTTATATCCTGTAAATTTGCTGAATTCATTTTATTAGTTCTCACAATTTTTTTCCCTTTATGTAGGAAATGGTTTCAACATATAAGAGCATGTCATCCGCAAACAGAAATATTTTGGGTTCTTCCTTCCAAATTTAGATTCTTTTTTCTTTGTCCAATTGCTCTGGCTAGAACTTCCTGTAGCATGTTGAATAAAAGTATAGAAGTGGTGGTAGCAGGCATCATTGTCTTATTCCTGATCTTAGAAGAAGAGCTTTTAGTCCTTTATCACTGAATATGCTGTTAGCTGAGGGTTTTTCACATGACCTTTCTCACGCAGCAGAAGTTTCCTTTCTAGTTTTCTTCCTAATTTACATTATTTTTTAAATGAAAAAGTGTTGGATTTTGTCAATTGCCTTTCCTTCATCAATTTAGATGATGATGCAGTTTTCCCATTCATTCTATTAATGTGGTATATTAATATACTATATATTATATAATATCTATTAGTATATATACATTATATATTATTAAATATCAAATATATTTCTATGATATATTTTAGTATTTTATAATTTATATATAAATCAATATATTATATATATAATTTTATAAAATATATATTAAATTTTAAAAATATATTTAATAAAATATATATTCATTTATATAAAATTATATTTTATAATTTATAATATATAAATTATGTAATTTGTATTATATAATTTTATATTATATAATCACATTTATATATAATTATATATGAAGTGAAGTGAAGTCGCTCAGTTGTGTCCAACTCTTTGCGACCCATGGACTGTAGCCTACCTGGATCCTCAGTCCGTGGGATTTTCCAAGCAAGTATATCAAACCCAGGTCTCCTGCATTACAGGCAGAGGCTTTACCCTCTAATCCACCAGGGAAGCCATAATATATAATATATAGAATATAATATATATATACACATTAAATTTATTAAAAACATAGTATATATAAATCATAAATATATCTTATATATGTAATAATAGAAATAATATAATCATATAAATAATTATTAATATAATTATATATTTAAATTATATTAAAATATATGTATAATTTAAATTATTGCATATTTAAATTTTATATATTAAATATATTATATATAATTATATATATTATACAAAATAATATATATATTAATTAGTATAATATATATAATAATATATAAAGAATAAATATGGTCAGTTTTATAATTATATAAATAACTATATAAATATTATATGATACAAATATTATATATATAAATTATATATATATAATATATATTACATACTTATATATAATATATAAATTTAAATATATTAAAAATATATAAAAATTTATAACTATATGTATCAATACACATTATATTAATGTTTATATTTTAATATATTATATTAATATATTTATATTACAATATAAATGTATATTATACATTATAACTATAAATATTTATAATTATAAATTATAAATATAAATTTATATATAAATTATATAACATATAATTATATATAATATATAGCATATTATACTATACTATATAGTATATTAATATACTATGTAATATAACATATAATAGTATAATTGATATATAATTAATATATTAATATAATAACTACACTGATCTCTATGTCTATCCTATGTGAATTTCACGGTGTTAACTACAGTAGTTTTACAGTAACTCTTTTTTTCTGTTTTTTGACATGGACCTTTTTTAAAGTCTTTATTGAATGTACGACAATATTGCTTCTGTTGTTTACGTTTGCATTTTTCGGCCGTGAGGCACGAGAGATCTTAGCTTCCTGACCAGGGATTCAATCTGCACGGCCTACATTGTAAGATGAAGTCTTAACCACCGGACCACTAGGGAAGTCCCTATAGTAACTCTTGAAACCAGGATGTGTAAGCTCTCCAGCTTTTTATTTTTTAAGATTTGTTTTTGTTTTAGTGGACCCTTTGTATTTTCATATAAATTGTATCAGTAGAATCAGTTTGTCAATTTCTACAAAAAAGTCTGCTGAGAATCTGATTGGGATTGCATTGAATCTTTAGACCAATACGAAGAGATTGTCTTAACTATAGTGCCCTGCCAACAACCGAATGTGTAATGTCTTTATATTTATTTATATCTTTAATTTATCTTAGTAATGAATCACAGTTTTCAGTGCAGAAGTCTTGCATTTCTTTGGTAAACTTATTTGCAGTTTATTCTTTAAGATACTATTGTAATTTCATTTTCAGATTACTTACTAGTAGTATACAGAAATGTATTTATGCACTGATCTTGGACCTTGAGATCTTGCTGAACTCTTCCGTCAGATCTCCTTCCAATCTGGATGCCTTTTATTTCTTTTTCTTCCATGACTGCACTGGCTAGAAACTCCATGTTGACTACTGGTGGCTAGACTGAACAGCTTTGCTTCGTTCCTGGTCTTAGGGGAAAAGCATTTAGTCTTCCATCACTAAGTATGAGGTCAGTTGGAAGATGTTCACAGATGACCTTTACTAGGCTGCAGAAGTTTCCTTCTATTCCTAGGTTTCTAAGAGTGTTTATCATGATTTATTTACAAAATGGAGACAGACTCACTGACAGAGAAAACAAACTTATGGTCACCAAAAAAAGTGGGTGGGGGGGGGATAAATCAGGAGTTCAGGATTGGCAGAAACAAGCTACTGTGTATAAAATAAACCACAGGGCTTCCCTGGTGGTGCTGTGGTTAAGAATCCACCTGCCAATGCAGGACAGAGGGGTTCGATCCCTGGTCCAGGAAGATTCCATATGCTGTGGAGCAGCTAAGCCCATGAGCCAGCACTGCTGCTGCTGCTGCTAAGTCACTTCAGTCGTGTCCGACTCTGTGCGACCCCACAGATGGCAGCCCACCAGGCGCCGCCGGCCATGGGATTTTCCAGGCCAGAGTACTGGAGTGGGGTGCCACTGCCTACTGAAGCCCACACGCAGAGAGCCCGTGCTCTGCACCCAGAGAAGCCACAGCAATGAGCAGCTCCAGCACTCTAAGGAAGAGCAGTCCCCGCTCAGCGCAGCTAGATAAAAGCCCACACGCAGCAACAAAGACCCAGCACAGCAAAAAGATAAATAAACAGAGAAATAAAATTATAGAAGAAAAATTCAGCTAGGGTTTGACAAGCTGGTCCAGAAATAGGTCAAGAGGATAAGGAAAGACAGTGGCGGTGAGAACACGGCTGAAATGCAGGTACGCAGGCGGGGTGAGCTGGGAAAGGAGGCGATCAGTATGGTCATTGGCGAGCACAGAGGGGCTGAAGGAGGAGCACAGGCGCAGGTTTGGCAGAAGGAGTGGGCAGGGAGAAGGAGGCTGCAGGCAGAGGAAAAGGGAGCGTCCAGTCTCGGAACAGGAAAGCCTGGGGCTGGAAACGTGAGTGGGGGCGAACCGACGGTGAAGTGTGCTAAGTCCTCAGCCAGGCTCACGCGCTCCCCAAGAGCTGGGAGGTAAACTCCCAGCGAGGCGCTGCTCCTTTCCTGTGAGGAGAAGGTTTCTACTCTGGAGGTAAGTCCCCATGTAGTGGGTATTAGTGAGCTGATACCCACCTCTCATCTCAGCTGAAAGAAAGATCATCGATTTAGAAAGGCTGATATACTTTTTAAAAGAGGTCACTAGAAACTTTTCAGGTTATTAACAGAAATGATTTAACAAATTATTTATGCTTTTGATTTAATAAAAACCAAATATTTGAATGCATTCCCAAGTGGCACTAGCGGTAAAGAAACTGCTCGCCAATGTATGAGACACAAGAGATGAGGGTTCAATCCCTGCGCTGGGAATATGGCAACCTACTCCAATATTCTTGTCTGTAAAATTTCATGGACAGAGGAGCCTGGCGGGCCACAGTCCACAGGGCTGCAAAGAGTCGGACACGACTAAGTGGCATATGTGTGTGTGTGTGTGTGTATATATATATAATATTAAACCTTTGAATATAATTAAAATTAAAAAGTAGGTAAGTAAATCTGGTCTCATAACTACCATCTATTTTGCATAAAATCTGGGTAACAGTTCAAAATTTGTATCAATCTCATGGCCTCTTCTCCAGCTTTAAGTTCTTGTTTTTTTGGTACAATCATCTTAAAATGAATCTTAACATTTTTCCTGATACTACGGAAACAAATAGTCTTGCCTGGGCTTCTGAAACATTGTTACCTTGAGTTGTGAGCTGTCCTTCCTGAGCCTGAACACAGCGAAGCTCTTCAATGGTTTCCTTCAGAGAATCCCTTTCTGATCTCAACCTCTGGAGGGACATTAAGAACAAGGGAAGTCAGCTTCAACCTTCACGAATTTACTCATTAGTGGTCTCTGCCTTTACCTGACAGAATGATCAACAGTGGGGAACATGAACATGTTATAGTTTTTAATCTTTTATAGAATGATCACAGAAGGAAAAGATTAGATTCTTCCCAGTTTAACCATACTGAATATATACTACGTGCAAGGCAGTATGTTATCTAGTTAATCGTAAGAAACAAAACTACTCCATTCTTAACAATGAATCTCTGATTATATAAATAACTTTCCATGAAACATAAAAATCTTAAATATTCATGAATTATGACAAAGTAAAAATATTTTTAAAAGCTTCAAAATATGCTGAACACCACCAAAAAGAACTGTGTCCTCTATGTTAAACATACAGAAAACAGAAATACATATAGCTACACAAATTTATAGAAGGTCACAAGATGATGGAAAAGTAGCAACAGTGGCACAAAAGTTAAATATACATAAAATAAATTAGAATAAACAGTTTCTCAATCTTTTATTTTAGATCTGTTTTTGAAACACAAATATAAATCTTCTGTAATTTAAAAATCAAGAAGTGCAGGGAGCTCAAATCTGACGCTCTGTGACAGCCTAGAAGGGTGGGAGGTGGGAGAGAAGTTCAAGAGGGAGGGGACCCGCATATACCGACAGCTGATTCATGCTGACGGGTGGCAGAAACCAGTACAACACTGCAAAGCAATTATCTGCCAATGAAAAATAAATAACTTAAAAAAAATCAAGAGCATCTCTAAATTTTAAGTTTATAAGTAGAAGAAGAAATTAATGTAGTCAAAACAAGAACTGAATATCATTTTCTTAACTTCGGCACTGCTCAAAACCAAAATGCCCATGTGTATACTCACATCCTTTTCTTTTTGAAGACTGTCAACTTTTTCTTTTAGCCGCTTATATTCAAAATCTAATTTATCGGCTTTCTTCGATTCTTCAGATAATCTATTTTGCAGTTCTACTACCTGGTATAGAAAGGTATCATTAATTTTTATTATTTGATACATTAGAAATGATCAAATTTCTTCTATGCATCTATGAAGATTATCTTTCCCACAGATACTAAAAAAAAAAAAAAGATAAGATATAGAAGCCTGACTCAATGGAGAGAACCTAGGTACAGAAATCTGCCTAGATACTGTGGGTTCTAAAACCAGATCACCTGGAAGAACAAATGCTCAAACCTAGAAAAACCTACAGGACTTCCGTTTCCTGCAACACAGGTAACTGGGCAGTCTAGAAGTCCTTTTAGTATGAAGCAAGAGAAATGCTAACGGGAAAAAAAGTCCGATGGCATTGCTAAGCTTGTAAGAAAGTGTGGGAGGTCATCAGAGGCTAAAACTGGAGAGGAGGTTTCTGAGGAAGCTACGGGCACTGTGAGATGCCACCTGAAAGTGCCAGGGGCCCAGAACTTTACCATATTGGGAGACAAGTGGTGGTTGGTAAACTGTCTTGGGTTCTGAAAGATGGTGAGTCAGTAAACAGGTAGGTTAGGAAAAAAAATCCATCAGCTGGCAAAGTCAATAAGGAAACTTGCCTGCCTTAAAGTGAGTGCAACTTGAAAATCTGTAACCATAGCCTGTGGATACATGGATTTATGTTAGAATTTTTGCCATATGCCTTGTCTAGCAAACCCTAAGCCAGGCAATTAATTTAAGTCATCCTAGCTGGTAACACAGTGGAAAATCTGGCATATGAAAAACCCAACACTGTCTGGAGGAACACAACCTCAACCAGGTCCCCAGCACTCTCAAAGGTAAAGATGAGCGCAAATCCCCAAAGCACGAAAGTCTTAAAGAAATAAACCGCTAAGAACAACAGTCAGCAGGAAAACATTAACAGTACGAACAAAAGCAAAATCGTCAAATAAGCCCTCCGAGGAAGTCAAATTGGAGTTAAATACTTAAAATAAAGAAAGAAACCTAAATTATAAAAGGAATAAAATACCACCAAATATGATCACGTGGGTGTGACTAGCCACCAAAAGAGAAGTTGCAGAAAGAGAAGTATTACAACGAAAAATAAAATAACATTAAGCTCCAGCTCAGAAACCAGTTCATGGGGTCGCAGAATTGGAGATGACTTAGCAACTGAACAAGATCAGAAACAGAGAACAAGTGTAATATTTCTATATTCTGTAGTGCAATTTCACCATAATAATTATAGGTGTAGAATTCTTTTTTATTTATTCTGTTTGTAATTCACTGTTAATACTCAATCTGATGTCTTTGATTAATTCTGAAAAACACTCAGCCGTTCTTTCCTTTAAATAATGTCCTTCCATAATTCTTTCTGTTCTTTTCTCTGGAACTCTGATAAAATCATTTCTTATTTTAATTTACTACCCTTTAATCACATGTATATAGCCTCTTTGGGCTACATTTAACTTTCAGTAATTCTTCCAAATTAGTTGTATGTTGAAAATTTTCATAATAAAATGTTGTGGAAAAATGTATCCACCAAAACACCCTACCAGCCGTACATGGTACACAGGGTTGTTCTACTAAAACGTCTCTATTATAGTAAGTGAGTATAATTTTGAGGCCAAAATCAGCAGACAAGGAAAGCACGAGATAGAAAACTTTGAGTAAACAAATCGTAGAGGTAAAATATTCCTAGTAAAATAAACCAAGTGAATCTAACAATGTGAAACAACAAATAAATCTGCTATGCCTGAGTTTATATCAGGAATGCAAGGGTGGTTTAAGCACAGAGATCTATTAATATAATTCATCAGATTAACAGAAAGGAGAAGTAGCATAGGCGTCTCTTAACAGGTGTAGCTGATTAAATTCAACATCCGCTTACGAAAAATACCTGTGAAATTAGGAATATAACGAAATTTTGTTGCTCTTAAGAAAAGGTGGCTACAATAACCTAAAGCAATCCTTATAATATACTGGTAAAACATTTAAAGCACTGCATAAAAAATCAACAAGAAATGGTTGTCTATTATTACTGCTTCTGTTCAAGACTGTCGTAAAGGTCAGGCATGCTGATTAAGAAGGAATAAAAGGGTATATGCTGTAAAAAGAAACAAAAAAAAAGATTTTTATTTGTGTAAAATATGACTTCTGACAAGAAAACTAGCAGACATCATTAGAAGTAATATGGGGGACTTCCGTGGTGGTCCAGGGGTCAAGACTCTGCCTTCTGCAGGGGATTCAGGCTCCATCCCTGGTCAGGGGGGCCAAGATCCCACATGCCTTATGGCCAAAAAGTCAAAGCACATAATAGAAGCAATATCATAACAGGTTTTTTTTCCATAACAAATTTAATAAAGACTTTAAAAATGGTCCAAAAAAAAAAGAAGTAATAATATGGGAATTTGACAAGATTATAAAATCAGCACATAGGACTTCCCTGGCGGTCTAATGCTTAAGAATCTGCCTGCCAGTGCAGGGTTCACATCTTGGTCTGGGAAGATCCCATATGCTGCAGGGCAACTAAGCCCGTGCGCCTCAACCACTAAGCCCTGCTGCCACAGATACTGAAGCCTGTGCTCCTAGAGCCCATTCTCTGTAGCAAGGGAGGGCTCCGCAAGGAAAAACCTGTGCACCTCAGTAAAGAGGAGCCCCCGACTACTGCAACCAGAGAAGTCTGAGCCAGCAGCCGAGACTCAGTGCAGTACATTAGGACGTAACACGAGTGTCTGCTGTCGGGACCAATGGATAACCTCTGGGTAAGAACCCAGCTTCCGACGGGAAACACCGAACACCGTGGACAGAAGCCAGTGGACTCTGATAAGCCAGTGAAACTCTGCGGAGAATTCAGCTGCTAACAATGTGAAGAAACCACGCCACTCTTCTTACCTGTCGCTTGTACGTCTCGAGTTGACTTCGAGCCGCGTTGGCTTTCCTCAGCTCCTCCTCTAGACTGACTGTGTTCTGCATATACATAGTGTTCTTTTCTTCTAAGAGCTTAACTTGCCGCCTCAAATCACCTAGATCTTCTAGCTTCTTCTTATATGATTCTACTTGGCCTTCTAGTTTAGACACTTTATCAGAAGAATGTCTAGAATGAGATGGGAAACCAGGAATCACAAACACACCCACAGTTGTAAAGCTGCTGTAGACAGTGCTAAACCAGGAAGATCGCCAGGAAGTAACACGTTCTAATGAAAATGACAAGACCAAAGGTTGAGTCCAGCTTAGTTTTTTGGGCAGGTTCAAAAGTATGACCAAAGCGACAGCAAAATTTGCAATGAAGAACATTAAATAAAATTTAAGGAATGCAAGCAGGAGCGGGTAGTCAAGAGTTCCATGCAGCACAGAAGCAAAATAAATTGTACGGTGTCCAAATGATTTGGCAGTTGGATGTTACTAGTGACCACAGTAACAGCTGCTTCAGGGGAGCAGTGGGGGCAGGCGGTGGCGAATTCTAGTGGGTTAAGGAGAGAATGTAAATCTGACCCTGTGTAATCTAAATCTGTTCTGGAGAGGAGGAGAGAGTAATACTTCTCTCACTTTTTCTAAGAAGAGAGGGACCGAAACATACAAATAGATGCTTGGGGGTGGACTGGGGCTGGGGGAGATTCAAATGGGAAGAGAGGTGATAACTGATGTGGTACTGGTCCCTGCAGAGCCAAGAAGGGTTGAGACCAGAGCACCAGGATCAGCAGTGGACAGGAGGATGGGCACCAGTCTGCACGCAGGCAGCAGTGGCCAACAGACGGTGGGCATGCAGGAGACAGCACGCGGCGGGTCCACGGGTCACGACCTCGTCCCTTGGTGCAGGGACAACGTCATCCACCCAGACTGAAGCTCAGGAGAGGTGGGGGCAAGGGGACAGACAGGTGAGAAGAGTTTGGAAAACTCAGAGCAGCGACGACCTAAGTGGGGGACAGAGCCGCCCACGGGTGGGCAGCGGAACAGGGGGCCAGTGAGGGGGAGCCCAGAGGAGGGTGAGGATCGTTAAGTCTGCAGGAGGACAAAAATGACATCACTATGTGATTCTCTCTATTCGTTCTCAGCATTTAAAGAGCCAAAGGGTAAGATACAGATGGTTGGAATGATCCGATGGAGGACAGGCTATACAGGCAGAATGGTGGAGAACCGAAGAGGCAGGGAGCGAGTGGCCCGCTGAGAGCACAGTTGAGTCCAGCAAGGAAATGAGCCTCGAGGGGGAGACAGGATCTGAGCAAGTGGACCACTGATCAGCTGGACGACGCAGACTGACGACCCAAGAGCAGCAGAGAGAAAGCTCACAGCTGCGCAAGCATGAAGTGCTGGTCTGAGATGAATTCCTACTTAACCAATGTTTATATGCCGCACTTATCTGCCAGATCCTGTTCCAAGTGCCTACAAACATAAACTCACTCAGTTCCACACGTCAGCCTGAGTGGGCACGTGTACTGTTGCCACTTCACAGATGAGAAATGCTTCCATGGAGGTGAACCCCGGGGTCCTAGCTCTTAGACACCTTCCCGTGCCCAGAAACCTGATAGTGGGAACACTGGAGGCGGATCTGTGCTGGGGGATGACGGGTCTGAGATCCCACAGGGATGGGGGGCTTGGTTACCTAAGAACATCTATTTCATCCTTCAGAGACTGAGCATCGTCTGCCAGAGTGGTCAGTTCATCGTTCTGCTGCCGAAGTTCAGAGATCTCCTTCTCCAGCTCTTCGCAGCGTATTCGATAGTCATCTTTGGCTGCTTCAAGCCTGTCATTGAAACAAAACAGACCCAGAAAGCACTACTTACTAATAATTCTTCTTAGAACAGTAAAAGTAAGTTTAAAAAAATCAAAATACGTTCTTATGGAACTTGTCTCCTCCTTTTGTGGCCGTATGTTGTATTTCCAAGTTAACTATCCTGGAATCAGATTCTGCTATTCTAAGACTTGAAGACCAACAGCCATTACTCTACTCAGAAAGTTAGACACCAGGTGGTATTTTTCAAAATATATCAGCCATTAAGTTTTATTTTTAATTAGGAAATGAACATACTCCCTTTTGAAATTTAAAAAAAAGCAGAAAAACAAAGAAGATAAAAATCATGCATTACTCTAGACAGGTACTTACTGTTAACATTTGTGGAGTGTAACTTCCAGCCGGACTTCTTTTCATAGATCTTTTCACCTCCAAAATATGGATAATATGGTTCCTAATTTATTTTAATTTGTTGCTGCTTTTTTTGGCTGAAGCTCATGGCTTGTGGGATTGAACTCAGCCCCTCTGCAGTAAAAGCGCAGTGTCCTAACCACTGGGCTGCTGGGGAATTCCAGGTATGCATTTGTTTTGCTTAATACATATACCCTTCCTTTGGATTTACAGGATTCTCTCTCATGTCACAAATATTTATCACTGATAATTTTTTTATCACTGATTATTTTATGTATTTAATGCATAAAGATTCTTAGTTTTTATCCAATTCAACTAATGAATCTCACACTTCATAGTTTTTGCTTCTAATGCACAATTAGAATTTTTTTTCTTCTAATTTGTTATTTTCAGTTAGTATTTATAGGGTTTCATTTTTTAACATTAAAGTTTTCAATTTCTCAGGAGACCATTTGGGTACATAATGCAGTGCAGGAATCTAACTTTTCCTGTCAAAATAACTACCAATAAAAAAAAAAATAAAAAATACCTACCAATCATTCCCAAACTATTTAACAAATAACTTAACCTTTCCCTATTGATTAGAAAATGCCACCTTTATCATACTACACATTTTTATATATACTTGGACTGGATTATGGATCTTCATTTATGTCACTGGTGTCTGTATTTTGTTGCATGGGTACCACGCTGTTCCCATTAGGGTAAGCATTAAAATTTTTTCTTCTTCTTCATTTATATACTTATGAGCAGAATTTTCCCGGTGATACTAACTAGTTATTGCTAGAAAGGCCTGCGACATAAGCAAAGGTGTCACATAACCTTCTCTCTCTTAAATGTTTTTTGGTTCTAAGAACTTTTCAGTTGGTTCTCTTCTATTTTCGGGTGGACACACATATTATTTATAAATGATGATCATTTATATTTTGTCTTTCCAGTATTTTAATCTCATTTCTTTTTCTTATTTCATTTTCTAGAAAAGTAGTAACAGCTAAGTCTTATATAGTTTGTATGTGCCAGGAAATATTCTTAAAATACCTTCCATATGTTAATTCATTTAATGCTCACAAAAATTCTGGAAAGTAGACAAAACTATTAGACCATCTTAGAGAAATGGAGGTGTGCCGAAGGTTACACAGCTAGTAAGGGGTAAAGCCAGGATTTATAGCGTCAAGAAAAAAACTCAGATTAATATCAATAGGTTAATACTCATCTTCATCTTACATTCTTTTTACCGATAATCTCACATACCAAGCTTATTGTTTATTCTTCCTTCTCTAACTTACAGATTGGAGGAGGCATAATACATTTATCTACTCTAATAGATTTAATAGTTACTGTAACAGATTTAATAATATTGCTGAGATAAAGCTTATTTTTACTATAGCACTGGATTGAGTCTGCTACTCTTCAAAATTATTTAAAGAATACTTATAAATGAGATGTTAGTCATTTGAAAATGACAGTAATAAACCCATTATGTCAATACCGACAATATATAGTTTATGAAAAACAACTCTTTTCTAAAACTGGTGAGAAGAGTGGCTATGTTTTTACATTCTGTGATTCAAATCACTGGTTTACTAGAAGACAGCTGGGTTCTCCTGTTTCTACATGCCTCTGATGTGAGGGTTTTTTGGCTGAGGTCCAGGAAGGAAATCTAGTCTAACGCAGACATGCAGCTGGAAGAGAGAGGGCCTGAAGACTCCGAAAGAGTCCTCAGGTCACAGTCTAAACTGCAGTTGTAGATCATAAGCAATGGAATATTTGTCTTAGGTTTCTGGGAAGACTAAGAAAGTGTCCTTTTTTCCAGGCAAGGCAAACAAAACAAAACAAAACAAAACATTCACATTTCACTGGAGAAAAATAAAGACTGATAGATATGCAACCATATTAAGTTAATGGATAAGTAATGATACTTAATTTCACCCACAGTTTTAACACTGAAAATCTATGGCTAGGTAAGAAATGGGTCATGATACATTTTCTAGAAAGTTGTAACATAGTATTTTTATCATCCTGCCAAGTCCTTCCACAGAACACAAGTTCTGTTTTATCTTGCAGGACAGAGATTTTCCTTTTCACCACTCAAGTGCTAGTGGGCCCTCTTCCTTTTCCGCCCTTTCCTCCCCGAGAAGATGTGTTAGAGGATGACTCCTTTACATCAGCTTGCCCTTTAACTACATCTGTCTCCATAAACCTCACACCTGGCCTTTGTCTTGTGACTGTAAACTGTGCCCCGGGAGGCACAATCTCTAAATTCCATGCCTGCTTAATTTTTTTTTCCCCACTTTGGCATCTGGCCCTTTAAGAAGATACACTTAATTTGAAATCCTATCCCTGCAGTTTGTGATCTAATTTCCTTTTTTTGGTTTAAGTTTAATTTCCAAATTTGAGTGAACTTAATCTTTCCAGTGACCATTCCAACTCACTCTCAGGCCCCTTTTCTAGTTCTTCCCTGATGTTTTTCTCAGTCTGACTTTAGTTGTCTCCAAGCACCTGGTGCCGTGGGGATGGGATCTGCTCCTTCCCGTCACCCACAGTCACGGTTCAGCTGGGGCATTCTGTCTGCAAGTCAGGTTGAGGGTGAGAACCTTCCCATTTATGTGCTTATTTCATGGTGTGGGGGAAGACTTTTGGGAACTGGCTAATCACAGAGCCACCTTGGCCTGCAGTTACCTGGAAGTCCTAACACCATACTCTTAACTGCAAAAGACATTGCCAGATTTTAAAGGATCAGATCTGAGTGAGGGGTCCTTTACCTGAATGTTTCTTCTTGGAGCTGCTCTAACTGAGTCTGGAGCTGCAGATGCCTCCTTCCTGCTGGACTGTTAGGGTCTTCTATAGAATCTGATTGATTAAGTCTTTCCATTAATACCTGGTTCTCTGCCAACAGACTACTTTTCTCCTCCTGCAGCGCTGCGACCTGTTAGAATGTAGAAAGACGGGGGTTGTTTCCTCCAATTACACTGGAATCTGCATTAATCACTTGTAAATTACCATTATGAACTGTGTGTGTGTCAGTCACTCAGTCATGTCCGACTCTTTGTGACCCTGTAGACTGTAGCCTACCAGGATCTTCTGTCCATGGAATTCTCCAGGCAACAATAAGGAGTGGGTGGTCATTCCCTTCTCCAGGGGATTTTCCCGACCTAGGGTTCAAAGCCGGGTCTCCTACACTGCACGCAGATTCTTTACCATCTGAGCCACCAAGGAAGCCACTATGAACTAAAGCCTGTTTTTAAAGAAGTAGAAGTAATCTCCACTTAAAACATTTATATTATTTAGGAATACTGCATAGGCAGAGCAGTATGTAAAAGTCAGCAATAATTCATATTTTAAATTTCATATTTGAAAAGATAATTCACCAAAGAAGACATGTAAAAGGGCTCACAGGTGGTTCAGTGGTAAGGAATCCACCTGCCAATGCAGGAGATGCAAGAGATGCAGGTTTGATCCTGGGTCAGGAAGATCCCCTGGTGCAGGAAATGGCAACCCACTCCAGTATTCTTACCTGGAGAATCCCATGGACAGAGGACCTGATGTGCTACAGTCCATGGGGTCACAAAGAGCAGGGCATGACTGAGCAACTAAGCAGACAGACACACACAACAGCAACTAAGCACACAAAAAAGATACTGATGATTAGTCATCAAGGAGAAGCGAACTGAGACCATAATGTCACATCCACACACTCACTCCCACTAGGAAGCCGAGCATTAGAGACTGGCCGTGCCAAATGCCGGTGAAGATGCAAGCAAGTGGGAGTTTAACACACCTGGTGAGAATGTGAAATGTTCCGAACGCTGTGAATACCTGGTTTGCATTTGCCTAAAAATTTAATCATGGAACTACCACATGATGCAGACAGTTTACTCTCAGGTATTTATTTACCAGAGAGAAACAAAACATATGTTCACACAGAGATGCAGAATGTTTGTAGCAGTTTCGTTTGTAATAGCTTCCCTGGTGGCTCAGATGGTAAAGAAACCTGCATGCAATGCAGGAAACCCAGGTTCAATCCCTGGGTCTCGAAGATCCCCTGGAGAAGAGAATGGCAACCCCGCTCAGTTTTCTTGTCTGGAAAATCCTATGGACAGAGGAGCCTGGCGGGCTACAGTCCACGGGGTTGCAAAGAGTCAGACATGATTGAGTGACTAACACAAACAGAGAAAGACAAATATTTTTCAACAGGTGAATAGCTAAGTAACAGCACATCCATAAACACAACACTGTTTGACAACAAAATAATTAACTATTGATACCAACAATATGAATGAATCTCAAAAAAAATAAAAAAAGAAAAGAAACCAGGCAGAAAAAGAGTACAGTGTGTGTGACTCCTTTTATAGGCGATTCTAGAAGATAAAGATAACAAGCTAATCCACAGAGACAGAAAGCAGAGCCGGGGCTGGAAGAAGATGACAAGAGAACCCGTTATCCTGACTGTGGTGATGTCAACAGGCATCAGAATGGTACACTTCAAAAGCAGGCAGTTTACTGTAGGCCAACTACATCTCAAGAACCTGGAAAAGCAGAAGCCGCCTCCACTTCCAATTCTCCGTCTCCGCCCCCATTTCCTCTTGAACCTGTTCCAGCAGGGCTCCTGCCCCACCACCCCCAGGACCAGTGGAGCTCTGCTTCCTGCGGCTCCCCGGACACCCCCCTCTCCTGGTCCTCTCCACGCCCCTGCCTTGGGGCACCCACGGCTTTTCCTTCCTAAGCACACGGTTGTCTTTCAGTATCTGGGCAGTAAACACCATGTATTCACCGAGAGCTCACACGTTTCTATTTCCAGCTTGGGATCCCGAACTGTGCATCCCGTCCATGAGGCATCTGACTTTAACCTGTGCAGGTGGGACTCTCCCCGCACCCCGGCCAGCCCGCCTGCCATCTCCCCCTCTCGGCAGTGCTAACTCTGTCCTTCCACTTGCTCAGTCAGGATCCGTCACAGCTCATCCTCACATGCACGCCCATTCTTCCAGCAAACATCAGCGGCTCTGCCATCAAACAGATTTCCACCACTTCTTAACCACCCCTCAATTCTAACTGAAGTCAACCTAAGTTTTCGCCTGACTGCTCCAAAGGCGTCTGAATCAGTCTCCATGAGTTGGCCCTCACCCCTGGTCTGGTCTCCACCCAGGAGCCATCAAAACCCACAAAAATAAAACTCGGATCACAGGATGACTCTGCTCGCAAGCCTGGAATGGCTTCCCCTTTACTGAGCCTTTCCCAAGGCCTGTCTGGCCTCTGTGGACGGTTCCCCTCTCCAGGTCCACTCAGGTGTGCTGATCTGGACGCTCCTCCAGGGAAGACTGGGAGGCCAGCTCCTCCATGTTCTTAGGATCTTACAAACTCGCTGCCTCTGCTGGCAGGTTTTGTTGATGACCCATCAGAACAAATTCCTCCCACCCTGCTCCCCAGAGTCTCCCTCTCTCCAGAACCCTTATCAGCACATGACAGACTGTATTCTTATCCTGTTCATTGTGTCTTCTTCATATGCACGTAAGCACCTGGGGGCAGGAATGTTTTATCCAGTTCTGTGTTTCCCCTCAACTTCATTGTATCCACAGCAGCTATGGAGCAGTGGAAGGTCTGGAGTGCGTGCTCAATGTTTGTTGAATAAACGAATGAGTCTGAAATGCCAGTTCTCTATCTTGTCAGATTTCCATAAACACATAAATTCTGAGTATTTTCTCAGAATAGAGCAACAGCTCAATTCTATAGACCATGGGTCTATTTCTGCTCTTTTATTCTTTTTAAAAATAAACATTTAAGGCTTTAAATCCTAAAAACTCATCTCTTTTTTACTAATTTCTTTTTATTTATGTATTCATTTTAATTGGAGGATAACCACTTTACAATGTTGTGTTGGTTTCTGCTCTGAGTGAGTGAGTGAAGTGGCTCAGTTGTGTCTGACTCTTTTCGACCCATGGACTGTAGCCTACCAGGATCCTCCGTCCGTGGGATTCTCCAGGCAAGAATACTGGAGTGAGTTGCCATTCCCTTCTCCAGGAGACCTTCCCAACCCAGGGATCAAACCCGGGTCTCCCGCACTGCAGGCAGATGCTTTACCATCTGAACCACCAGGGAAGGTTTCTGCTATACAACATTGCAAATCAGTTCATGAAAGTGAAAGTCGCTCAGTCGTGTCTGACTCTTTGTGACCCCATGGACTATATATACGGTTCATGGAATTCTCCAGGCCAGAGTACAAGTTGTGCACAGCTCAGCCTTTCAGAGCCACGGGTCTTGCCGTGGGTCCTCGGCCCCAACTCTGCAGCACAAAAGCACCACAGACAGCACACCGAGCAATGAGCTGGCCTGCGCCACCACTTCACTCGTGAGACAGAGGGCCAATCCCAGCGCACGACTGAAAGTTATACTACCAAAAGTAATACTTCTATTCTGCTCGTAAAAACAACCAGTCTTATTATTGAGAATAATTTATGCATAGCTAAATTTTAAAATCTGTAAAGCAATTAACAGCATTTACACTGAATGCATGCTCAGTCACGTCCAACTCTTTGCGACCCCGTGGACGGTAGCCCGCCAGGCTCCTCTGTCCACGGGATTTCCCAGGCAAGAATACTGGAGTGGGTTGCCATTTCCTTTTCCAAGGGCACTTACATTATGACTAGATGTTATTACTATATAACCCAACAAGTGTGCTCTGATCACAATTCTACCTGCATCCAAAGCAACGACCAACTATTAATGCTTTCAAAGCAAAATGCTTCTAGCAGAAAATATCACGAACTGAGTACCTACTGCCCAGCTTTAGTAAGGATCAACATGTGGCCAATTATGCACCATCTGGACCTCATCCACTCTCTCCTGCCCTCTGGTTTTGTGGTAAATCCAAGACAAACATATTTTATTTCTTAGTCTCTTTTTATCTATGAAAGATTCCTTCAACGTCATTTTAAACTACCCTACTGGATTTTTATTTTGACAATTCTATTTTTAATTTATGTAAGTGTTCCTCTCAGTCTGAGGGGCTTCCCTGTGGCTCAAATGGGAAAGAATCTGCCTGTAACGCAGAAGACCTGGGTTTAATCCCTGGGTCAGGAAGATCCCCTGGAGTGGGAAATGGCACACCACTCCAGTATTCTTGCCTGGAGAATCCCATGGAAAGAAGAGCCTGGCAGACTTCAGTCCACGGGGTCACAAAGCGTCAGACATAACTGAGCAACTAATACTTCACATGTTTCTTGATCTCTTTTTTCTTTCTTAAACAGCATCTTGTCCTTATTTGAGAGATGCATTGCACAGGGGCACTAAATAATCAAAAAGAAAACTTTTCTACTACCCCACTTTCTCCACTTCCTCTAGGGCCAGTTTTCTATTCACCTTCCTGTTCTCTTTTTTGCCATGCATTTTTCCTCACATGCTCTCTGTCAATTAGAGAACCTGGAAAGGTCAAAATGCAAAGGGTCTAACCCTGCGATACTGAGTCTATCCTCCCATACTCCTGTCTGCTTAACTCTTGAGAAGAGAACCCTCCGACAGCAAGCCGGCTTCAGGTCAGGGTGTCTGCAGCGCGTGATGGGTGTTGGGGGCGCTCTCCTACAGGAGACCCCATTGCACCTCGCTGCAGCCTTCTACCAGGTGGGGGTGGGGGGCTCCCTGCGGTTCTCTGGGGTTCGGCTGCAGGAGCCCACCCCTCTTTGTTGCTATTTTTAACTGTTTACTTTTATTTTTGGTGGCACTTGGTCTCTTTTGCTCGCTTGGGCATACTAGCTGCAGCAAGTGGGTGCTACTCTCGAGTCAGGGTGCACGGACTTCTTATTTGGCAGCTTCTCGTATTGCAGCGCATGGGCTGCAGGAGCCCAGGCTCAGTAATGAGGGCCCTCAGGCTCCAGAGTGCGGACTCAGTAGTTGCGGGGCACATGCTTAGCTGCCCTGCAGCATGTGGAACCTTCCGGGGCCAGGGATCGAACCCACATCCACTGGGTTGGGAGGCAGATTCTTACCCATTGGAACACCAGGGAAGTGCACATCCCCCTTTATAGGAGTTCTGGGTCACAGAACTCTTTACTGCTCTTAGGCCATTCAGCACTCTTCCCAACTGTCTCTGGACTTCAGAAGTGGATAACGAGTATGGTGTGCTACTGCTGGCTATATCGGAGCTGCTTGTTAAATATTCAGGAGACAGGTGAGCCGACTGTTAAACCACTGGTAACTGGTACTGGTCACTGACAGTGTGTATACCGTGGAGACTGGCAAACACTACAAATCAGGACTTTAAAAAATCTCCCTCAATCTCCTGAGCGCTGGTCTCCCTCCTCTTTCTCTTCTTGTGGCCTTATCCCATTTTAATTCATTCATCGGGAATTGAATGGAGTTGTGAGAAGGAGGGAAAACTCTGATCTTGGCTAGGTCTGCACTCTTTTTCCAGGATTTTTATTCTCTAATTAGGCTGTGTTACAGCCAAACTGAACTGCAAGCGGGGCCCACTGCATGTGGTGGGACTTGGAGAACGTGTTTCAGACAGGTGGTCTGGGAACAGCCCTCTTACCTGCAGATCCAACTCATGGCACCTTTGAGCAATTTCCTCCTTGGCCGACAAAGCTTCATTTAGTTCTTCTGAAGTTTTCTTCAGCTGGGTAGAAACGAAGAGCTACAGTCAACACTGGAATATGACGTGGCAACAGCTAACAATCACACATGTAGAGTACAGAACTCCTTTCTCTTTCTGGGGGACAGCAGAAATCAAGAACCCTTCTGCATGAGTCAAAAGAAGACATTTTTTTTTTCTGATGCTTGATAAATATTCAATGAAAAAATCTCGAAATTTATAAATAAACTTTGCACTGTTTGGAAATGATTTAGACCAAATTTCTATTGTTAAGAAGCCACTTCTAACAATGAATATCTTTTAGTCCTAAGCTTTGTCTTTTCTGAACTTGGAATTTGGTTCTCTTACACATCTCTTCTTATCTGGGCTTGGTAATGTTTTGATTCTGTAATAACTGAGAAATTTTACTTTGGTAAAATCTATACATGCTAGAACAGGGGTTTGACTGTTAAATAGCTAGTGTATTTCAACCCAAATGTTCAATCATATTAAACCTCTGTGTTAATTTAGTATATCAGTTTCAAAATGAAAGGTTTTTATTATCCTGATTCTCAGCACAAACCAAACAGTCCCGAGCTGGGTCCCTTTATTGTGATAAATTCTAAGTTAGCAATGTATGAAAACATTAAAGTTAATTGACTTTTTAGAAGGAAAAAATCGATGAAAATAAAATTATATTGGCTTTTCATTTCATGTGATCAAAAATCTATGCGTAATGGACACAAAAACAAAAAAGTGCATTCAAGGTAACAAGTTTTAAACTCAGATGCCACAGAGTAAGGAAAAGACAAATTACAATTTGGGCTAAAATTATAGCATACCCAAAGATTTTCCTGCAAAACATTTAGAAACCATGGGGAAGAAGTGAGACAAGACAAAGAACACAAAGGTTTCTATTCATTATGGAACAGATGTCCCCGAAGAGCAGAATACAGCAACTGACAATGTAACGACATTTTATTAAAAAGCAGTAATTAAAACTACAAATCAACTTTTCTGTTAAAAACCATAAGAATATAATGCAGAGTTCCTTAAAGAAATACAGTAGCTCCTTAGCACATTTAAGTATCTCCTGACAGACTGTTCACATGTTCACAAAGATGAAAGGAAAAAGAAACTTTTTCAATTGAAGAGTAACATGAAATAAAAGGCAAAATATCTTTTGTATTATAAATAAATTGTAGGACTAAAGGCATGCCATGTCCCAGGACTGAATCTGTTTTCTTAAATGTGATATACAGAAAGCTTTCACTAATGGAAAAACCATGACTAGAAAACACAAAATATAGTAAACTAAAGAAGCTAATTTATTTAATAAATTATGTTAGTTACAAATTACAAATTTTACTACAAATATTTACTATCCATTAGTAAAGTGGCTTTAAAAAAAAGTGACTGTAATTCTTGAATTTTTGGTAAAAAATAAAGGATTACACCAATATATTTTGTAAGCTGAAACACCCTTTCTATTAACATCTAAAGTTTACCCTTCAACCTCTGCACAGATAGAATCAATGCAAGACCAGGTACCTGGCGATCAAGGTCAACATAGGCATCATTCCCAGCAGACACAGGAGACTCTTTACTCATCAGCTGAAATCAAGATTTAAATGATTACAACCAGGAGACAAAAATGACATTCGACATAATATACTTGCAACAACAAACATGAACGCCTGGCTGCCGGAGAATTGTAAAAATTACAATGAAAAACACAAATGTAAAAGGAACATTTTCTTATAACGTCGAAGCTTTGCTTCGCTGCAGGATTAGCCTTCACCTAAAATCATATGTTGCAACTTTAGCGAGGGGCCACTCATGAGAATCAAGTATTACCTATCCTCACCACGAAAAAAAGACAAGCCTTTAAGTTGAAATGTGGCTAAATATTTTAAAACACTGACTTTTCGGTACAAAAAAAATAGCATTGCTAGGTAACGATCTCTGAAGAATAAATGTGGGTCAGATCAGTGTCAGCCCAAACGAGCTGCTGATGCTCAGAGATGACACGCACACACACAAATCTAGTTCTCAGCCTCCCCCACCCTTGCGCTGCTCACAGAGAAGATCCAGGGGGTGTGTGAGGGTTTGGGGAGAAAGGGTAAAATTCTGACTGGGACAAATGTTGGGAGCAGACCAAAAATGTCCCCACTTCCTCCTGTTTCCAGTCTTATATTCTGTAAAAAGGACAAAAGAGAGGGACGATCACAAAGGTGGGGACATCTTATTGAGAGATCTTATCACATCAGCCCTTACCCCACCCTTTACAGAGCTGCTCTGCTCAGCTGCACCTTCTTCTCTGGATCAGGGGTTCTCCAAGTGAGGGCCCCACACCAACACCACCAGCATCCTGAGAACTTGCCAGAAATGCACATCCTTGGGTCCCCGGCTCAGATTTACTGAATCAGAGACTCTGGGGTTAGGGCCCAGGACGCACACAGAAGTTTGAGAACCACTGCTCTCTAAGCCTGTCATGAGAAGAGTCAAAGTCCCCTAGCATATAATCGGAGGAAAAAAAATCTCAGCAAGTATAAAAGAAAACTGGCTTCATTTTTTTTTATACTTTCATTGTAAGAATATTAATAAAAAGATGTTCGGAAGAATTTTCTCCCAATTGGGGGGGGGGGGGAACCAACACAGAGAAGATGAAATTCAGGAAAAAAATACAAAAATAAATCCATTATTCTACCATCCAGAAATACCACTTCTGTAATTCTGAACTATGTAAGAAGCCACCTGTGCCACGGACCGCATACAGCTCAAGTAAGAAAGACAGCTCAGTGACAAGGGCTGTGACGGATATGGTTCTGGGCAGCGGCGGAGGGGTGGGCAAGGGAGTGGAAGCGTGTTCCTGCAGTCTTCTTCCCGTCCCCAGCTACAGGTGAGGCCCCGCCCCAGCTCAGCAGCACAGCACCCCACCCCAACACCGCCGTCTCCAAGTCGCCCACAGACAGGGGTCTGCCCGCCCCTCCCTCCCCGGGCCCTGCGCTTCCGCTTCCCTACTTCCCTCCGGTTTTCACTGTCACAGGCACTTCCCTCCTCACTCTGCTGAGACTCAGGTGAATGTCACTGCTCTGCCTGCCCAGAGTTTACTCGTCGCCTTCTCTCCAGCAATAGCCTCCCTCCGGACGTCGGCGGACATGGTTCAGCATCTGTTTAATCAATTACCTTCTCTTTCTGGCCTAGGCTTCGTGGTCTATTATTTCGTTTTAATATAATCAATTCTCCTACCTTAGTACCTTCTCCCAGGGAAAAAAATCAATCCAAAACCAACCCAACCACCTTTCTCTTCTGGCCGTCAACCCTGACTGCTAAGTTCTGAGAAAATCAAGATATTTTTTAAAACACAAAACATGTACGGTTTCCAGGGTCAGCTAGGCCTTCAAAGTTGCCCCAAAGTACAGCTATGTTTCCCCATCAGCAGCCTCTTCATTCCATTAGAGATTATTCCAAACCGTTCCTGCTTCTCAAACCTCACCAACTCTCCCTACACTTTAAGACCAGACTTTGCCTCCAGGTAAGAAATTCCTCAATTTCCTACGTGTTAACCTAGAGAATGGGGCCGCAGTCACGCCCACCCTTCCTCCTTCAATCTGGTTAAAATGCAAGTGCTGTTCTTCCCACCCAAGGCTGACCCCTCCACTTAAGGCTCTCAACCCTGTCTCTTCCCGGCTTCTCAGACCATGGGCCACTTATCATCCTCCTGTGTCATCTCAACCTGTCTCACCCTCTCCTGTGGCTTCGTCCTGTTAGCATTTAAAGACCTCAAGGACTATCATGTATCTGACTACCATTCAAATGTCTCCGAAGAAGATACTATAACACGGCCAGAAAACTCATGAAAAGATGCTCAACGTCACTAGCTTGGTGGGAAGTACAAAATAGGCCACGATGGGAAAACACCTCCCATCCACTCGGATGAGGGGCAGTTAACAAAGGTGGACGATGGGGGAGAGGAACCAGAATCCCGGGGCACTGCTGGGGGGAATGGATAACGGTGCCAGCACCTGTGGGAAGCACACTGGCACGTCCTCAAAAAGTCATACACAGGGTCACCACATGGACCAGCAATTCAGTTTCTGGGTAGATACTCAAAAGAATTAAAAACAGGTGCTCAAAAAAACAAAACACAGCAAAAACCTTACACACATTCATAGCAGCACTACTCACAATACCCCAAAGGTGGAAGCTCAAGTGTCCACGGACAATGCATAAACACAGTGTGGTCCACCCACACCGTGGCCTACCACTCAGCCACAAAGAGGAGCTAAACACTGAGACGCGCTACAGAATAACCTTGAAAACAGCAAAGTTTATAGTTATGTGTATTTTACCACAATAGGAAAAAAAAAATTGCAAATAAAGACAAACAATCATCTTACAGAACTCCTTCAATTCCACAGGTCTGTCCAGCCCCCAGGACCTCCTCCAAGGCCTGATCAGTCACCAGGCCTACTGACTAAAGCTCCGACAGCATTCGGTCTGCCCACACTGGACCCGGCCCTGTAACTCAGTTCAGGCTCCTGCCCTTCTCAGCAAATTACTAAGGCTGCACCTGCTCCCCTTTTTCTGGCCGTGTTTTTCTCCAGTCCATCCTTCTCATTGCCTAGAGTTTCTCAAATACAGACTTCACTGTATTTTCTCCTTGAAAGTCTATTCACTGGTTACCAAAATTCCAACTCATTTAACATCCTACTGATTTTAGGGCTCCTGCCTCACCTCCCACATCTGCTGAGCGAAAACAAACTTTCCAGAATGTTAACAGTCTCCAGATGGCTGGAGGCTTTCTCTTCTGCATTCTCCTATTTTTCTATAATAAAAGGCATTGTATCTTTAGCCAGGTTTGCAGCTCCTGTGTCCCCACCTGCCCCCGCCCCCGCCCCGGACTGCAGCTCGTCTCCTCCTCCAGGGCTCAGCTGAGATGCCACGTTCTCCAGTAAGCCCTCCGCACTGTCCCCATACTGAGTGGCTTTTCCCCATGACGGTGATTTTCGCTCTGAACACTCTGGAGGTATCTGAACTCCTTGTCTAACCAGGTCTTCCTTTAGACTCACGCTCTGTGTGACAAGAGACCACGTCTACCTTTTCACAGCTGCATCCACCAGCAGGCTTCTACTGTCTCCGCTGCATTCTAAACACCCAATGGGTATCTGCTAAGTGAACAAGATCAGTATGCACAGAATAGACATATCACCTCAATATCCACCTGTACATACCTTTTGCATACATTGCTTTGTTCACTTGACATTTTAAAGGTCTTCCCTTTGTCGGAAGATACATTTGGTGACAAATTTTTATCAGTATACATAATAAACATACAAACCATACAAACTACATAATAAACCATGGAGTGGAAGTGCTATAATGTCACCTCCTTGCCAATGGAAATACACTATTTTCACATTTTTGTTAATATAAAATAAGCTGATAAAGTTGTGCCCAATCATGGCCTGAATTTCTAAATAATTCCTTGGGATAAGATTCATAGAATGAAAATCACTCAGTTACAGATTTCAGTGAAAAAGAAAAACCCAAATAAAGATACCTTTTATTACAGAAAAATATGAGAATGCAGAATAGAAAACACCCAACCATATGGAGACAGTTAACATTTTGGAAAGTTTCTTTTCACACATCTTAATTTTTATTGTTTAACAAAAATGGGATTATACTGCTTGCATGTTCTGCATCCTACCTTTTTAAACCTAATATGTTATAAACTTGCCCCACATCATTACTTTTCAAAAAAATGTGCTTTAATGCTTACATAAAATGCCAACACATGGTTGAATCATACTTCATTTGTCCATCCCCCTACTGCTGGGCAGTGAGGTTATTCCTAGTGTTTCAGTCCTAGGAAGTAAGGCTGACTAAACAGACCTGCGGTGACACAGCAGAGCCTTAGGCGCGGGCTCTGCGTTATCCGGGTTCTAACTCTGCCGCTGCTTCTGCTGTGAACCTGGGCTAGTTGCTCACACTGTCGAGGTCTCTGTCTCCTCTCTTCTAAAATGGGGACAGTGACAGTACATTCTTCAAAGGATGAGATGTAACCTTTTAAAAAGGTTTTAAATCGTGGTAAAATATCTGACATAAAAGCTGTCATTTTAACCATGTTATGCGTGCACTTCAGCAGAATTAATCCCAGCTGCAGTGACTGTTAAGTGAGTTAGTGCTGACAGACGTGACGTGCTCACTGAGTCCCAGCACAGAGCAGGTGTGGATACATGCTTGCTATTACTATTATCGCTGTCTACCTTTGTACTTCGGACTTCCTCAGGATAAACTGCTAACAGTGGAAATACAGGATCAACCACAGGAAGGCAGGACAGTTAGCGGCCCCCTTATTATGTCTTCCTGTTTTTGCTTAGTAACAGAACCCTCACGTGCTGGCTGAGTTCCATGATCACCTAGAATAAAGAACACATTCTCCAGCTGCCCCGAGTGCCAACGCGAGAAACAGCTGGGTAACAAGCGTGAGAATTCCTAGACGTTTTCTAAGAGGAAGTGGAGAACCTTCCTTCAGCCCTGCCTGCTGGGCAGGACGCGATGTAGGGACTGGAGCACAAGCCGCCACGGCAGACCACAGAGCTGGAATCCCGTGTTAGGGATGGCAGACCATGAGCTGCGCAGAGCTGGGCTCCTGATGCCCACAGAGGCAACCCGAGAGCACTTGAGGGCTAATCAGACTCACATTTCGCTTTGGTGACCATCACTGTGTTATCTGAACACTCACAACCCTGCGTCTTACGCTCCTACCCCGATCAGCGCAAGACTGCCAAACCGACCCTCTGGTAAAAGCTTTGCTTTGTAGTAAGGTCCTGTGTAATAAGAAAGGCTCTGGCTGACCTCTGTCCCCACATATTAGAGGGTTGGGGTTTTGAGCCACTTGATGTCACCCTGACTTCTGGGGAGGAGGGGGCGGGGCTGGAAATTTCATTCAACCTTGCGGCCAACGATCCAATCATTCATACTTATAAAATGAAGCCCCACCAAAACTCGGGCGAACTTCCCTGGTTGGCAGTAGCACTCTGCGTACTGTCACACATTAACGTGCCAGAGGGGACACCCCTTGATTCCACATGGAGGGGACAACAGAGACTGAGTTAGGGGCCCTCCCAGACCTCCACTGCAGGGAGTCATCATCACTGAGTTCTACAGGTCACTCCAGCAAAAGACCAAATCTGAGGGTGAGCGGGAACCTCTGCATTCACAGTCGGTTGGCTGGATTGAACAGAAGATACTTAATCTGCACTTAGCATTTTTCATGTTTGTCTGCTGCATTTTTTCCTGTTAAGTTACTTACTTACATTCTACAGTTCCCTTAAAGGTTTCTCCCATTACTTTTATGATTAAAAATTTCTCCCCTCCTAAGACCCACCAGTTATTAATCTATATTCCATTTTTAATACTATAGTTCTGTGTTTGACATCTGACGGAGTTAAGGACATGCCGCCCCAAAATATGCACCTTGGCCTGTTGACTATTTCAAGCTGAAGGAACGTGAGAAAGAATGAGGCTGGCCAAGATTTCCCGACCTTCCTTAAGCTCCTCTCGGGAGAGGTGCCCTCCCGATGTCAGAGGAGAGGCGTATCCGTGCCTCCAAGGCCCCAGGGATGCGAGAGGAAGCTGAACACCAGGAGCCGTTGCTGCCCTTTCCCGCCCTGTCACATTTCCCCAAAGGACCCTCCACTCTTCATCAAATCCACGCAGGCTGAAACACTTCAGCCTTCACCTCCTCACAAAGATTCCTGTGTTGTGTAAAACTTACTTTAAATACATTTGTATGCTTCGCTGTTGTTAATCTTTTTTTGTTGTTGTTGTTTTTTAGAGGCCCCAGCAGACAACTTGGAAGGGTAGAGGAAAAAAGTACCTTTCCTCTCCTACAGTTGCAAATAAATATTCACCTAGAAACTGCTTTGAGTCTGGCAGGAGTTGAAGACCGATTTTCTTCCAAACAAGAGACCGATACTTAGGTGTGAGGCAGTCTGCAGGTTAAGACAGATACTACTTAAAATGGCCTTAAGAATCAGTCTACTATTCCTAATTCATCAGTGCATTAAAAAAAATTAAGAATAGTTACCGAGCATCTACACCCCCGAGAGGAAAGTTTACCATTTAAATAAAAATGAGATAAGCCACAGCATAAAGAAAAGACTCTCAGAGCCTGAGCGGGCGAATCGCCTTAAAATCTCTACCCCAGACGCTCAGGCTCAGGTTTGCTCCTTCAGTCCCTCACGGGCTGCAAGCACAAAGGCCCACGTACCTCCTGGATGGCCGTCATGACAACATGCTGAACAGACTCCTCCATCACCATGATGGCTTGGATGTACTCTGAAAGCAAGAACAACCTGGGATGTCAGTGTTCAAGCGACAGACAACCAAGGGAGTAAAGGCTAAGACTGCATCAGTTCTGGTAAGAAGCTCCCCGTGTTTTGATTCTTCCTCAGAATTTCTCGTATGTGGTTAAACACATGTGTTGGAGGTAAAGTGAGAGCTGAAAATCAGCACGTTTCTTTCCTGAAACTGACTCTCCCCTCCCCCATATAGTTGAGGCTACAGCTAAAAGTCCCAGGAATGGAGGATTTCAGGAATTTAAAGCAATGAAACGGTAAAGCGTAAGGCCAAGAAGGAAAGGACTCTGTATTCTGTTTCTAAAATTTAAACATCTTTCACACTGTTCTCTGTTACATGTTATAAAACTTTGATGTCTGTGTTTTATTCTTATGTGACATCACAGTATTGAATTGTGTAATTTCTTGTTGTTGTTCAGTTGCCAAGTCGTGTCTGACTCTCTGCGACCCTATGGACTGCAGCATGCCAGGATTCCCTCTCCCTTCACTATTTCCTGGAGTTTGCTCAGAAGCGCGTCCATTGAGTCGGTGATGCTATCTAACCATCTCATAATGGTAATTTTTACCTTAATATTTTCTATAATTAAAAAAAAAAACTTAGGGAATCTGAGAGCTGCTTAGAACAAAGAATTAAGATGGTTTTAAGATAGAGACTGATATCATAGTTTAAAAATACTGTGTAACCCTGGGCTTTAAAGTAACAACCCACATCTTTAATAAGTGAAAGCACCGATTTCATCAATCTTGTTCTCACCACTGCCAAAAGAGAAGAATCCCTTAGTTGTTAGTACTGACACAGTTGGGGGAAAAAAATGTCTTGCCTTGTAAAAAAGCCCTGGAAATAGTTTTATTTTCAGATCCAATAACAGATGAGAGAGTGAGGATGAAGCATAAAAAACCAATAGGCCAGCTGGATTTCAACAAATATGACAAATATATTTTAATAAGAAATGTTTCAAAAATTGAAGTCATTAGGAAATTTTAGCCTTAATCTGCTCCTCTCCCACTCTGTATCCATAAAAACACCAAAAAATACTGGCTCAGCATTCTAATATGAGATAAAGGGAGTCCGACTGTGCAATTGTTAGTGATCTTTTGGCAAGAGATTCCTGGATTTTTAATGCCAAACTATAATCCTTAGCTTGACAGGTAACTTGTTTAAAAAAAAAAATGTGACCTCACTATTAAATCATGACATTCTAGTTGTTAATGCCTAAGCTTCTAGTTCCACAAAACATGTTTCTAAGGAAGTACTGCCCTAAGAATACTTGTAAACTCCATCAAATGTGTGGTGATGCACACAGACATACACAACACATTACATGCTTAAACCACAGGCCCTGTCAGAAGTGGGAATCGTGTACGTCGTAACTTAGTCACTCTCTCTGGTTAAGAAAGAAATTCCTCTCGTCTGAGCTCAAGGTTTTGTCTGCTTGGTTTGTTTCGAGGCGCAGTCCACGAGCCTTGGGAACAAGGCACCAAACACGGCGTTTCCCGGCTACGGGGCCGCTGGCACGGCTGGGAGCAGAACGAAAGGCTGAGACTGGGGCGGGGGGAACGGGGCCAGCAGCCCCGGGGACGTGCGGGGTGGGGGGGTTAGTCAGGTGTGAGAGGGGAAGCGTTAGTTAAGAAGCGGTGTTGCCACGTCAAGGCCCTTCCCCGCGAACACCGTAAAATGCCGGATGACATAAAATGACGTGAGAACCAGGTTAGTGCACGCTTTTTGAAAAGTAAAAAAAAAAGTAAGTTAAATCTTAAAAGTTAAAAATCTAAGCATGTACAATCTAAGCATGCCCTGGGAGCAGACTCAGGAGCAGTGGAGGATGAGGTGGGCTGTATCAGAGAGCTTATCCTGAAAAGCGAGTGTCTAGGTCCAAAACCAACAGCACAGTTTAGCACAGAGTACCAAGTTCTCATGTGGAAGAGACACAGGGTTTTGTCCTCACTGGCCTCTCTTAAGGAAGAGATTTGGGGCGAATAATACTGAGTCTCGGCTTCCCAGTCTACAAAAAGTGTCCTTCGTTGGGTTACCAGGCAGAAGGCAGACAATCAGTTAAGTATTATTATTAGTGTGTTTTTACTACTCATCTTTGCTTTTTCAAATCCACCACCATGTATTTGCCCTGGTTTGAGAAGTCAGGAGGCCAAGATAAACGGATGCTGAGCCAACACTCTGAGCAGCTGCTCTTCACTCTAGGAACTGAAAAACATCCTCTGAACAGAAAGCACGTGTTTCTGCTGCGCTTTACGGATTACAGAGCAAACACACACACATGGCTTCACTGACTACTCGTGACGATCGGGTTTCGCACCCTCACTTTGGAGACGAGGAGACAGGCCGAACACCTGATTCCGGGAAAGGCGGCAGATGGCAGAGCCCCCTGGTCAGCCTCACACCTCGTGTCCTACATGCCCAGCGAAGGCAACACTCAGCAACCCAGAGATTCACGGCATTTGATGCAAGCTCTCAGCTGTCCTCCTGAGGACAGAGAATGCTCTCTGGACAGTGGGGTGTTAAAATCCTATTCAGAGTGTTCACTGTTCACATAATTTTCAGGGAAAAACTCAATCTAGGTGTTACACAGAACACATGGTCTGTGTGAGAAGCTCAATAAATGTTATGATTGCTTTCCCATAGGACTATAGATATAGGTCAAATTCTCATCTCTTCCTATTTGGACTCTTGTTACCAGCCACTCTTAACGGCTACACACTTCCAAGAGCTGAGGACTCTCCTAACAGAATAAACACGTAAGAAATTCTTATCTGAATTCAATGAACTATGCCAAATAATTTTCATCTGCCTTTTAAAATCAAAGCACCTACTTAGACCCACTCAACTGCAAGTTCTACGAGGGCAGGGTCTAGGTCGACTGACTGACTGTCCCAAACCCAAGCGTGATATGTGAATTCAGTTAAGTGTTTGTGAAATAAATCTTTCAATCTAAAATGTCTAATTTTAGGCAAATTATATCTCTTGCCATCTAAAATATCAAATTTTAAGTTTCCATAGCTGAACGGATCATAGGTATTAATTACTATTAATCAGTAATTAATTTGGCTGGACCTTGTCCAATTAACAGTAAATTTCATCAGATTTGGTGCAGTTAAAAATAATCTACACTCAAAGAATTAGGTAGCCTTGCAGAAAGGGGAAGGAAATCATCGCAATCAAATATGTTTAATCTGTAAAACTCTTTTTAAGCTTGAAAATAGATTACTGGCAAAATCATAGAAAAGGGCATTCTTCATGAGTGGCCTTAGGATGTTCTTATTTGAACATGTGATCTGTGTATACATATATGAACTACTTTCCTCGGTTATTTTATATGCACTCGCTAACTTCAAATATGTTACCTTGCTTCTGTTCGCAGTTCACAGCACAGCCTAAAATGAGCTGAAGCATCCTTCCCAGCTCTGCGGCGTCGGAGTGCTCCGCGATCAGGTTCACATCGGGAAGGGTAAAGTCATTGATCTGCTGCCCTAGAATCTGGCCAGAGAGAAACACTTGAGAGCTGCAGTGACATCTACATGGCCAAATAAAATATTTGATGAGAGATGAGTGGTCAGCACCAGAAACTCCCTGCTCAGAGCAGAGCTGTCTGGTCGACCTCACTCCCAATTCCTAGCTCTACCTCCCACGCGTAAGTTATAACCCTCCTGAGTCACGGCAACTCAGTCTGTAACCTCGTATGTGGTGTGGGCTCTGAGCAAAGAAATAGCACTGCTGGGCCCTCCGCCTCCCCCAGGAAGACTGAATGCGCACTCCGTAGAGAAGGAGCGCCCAAGAGGTCCTGAGACCCGGGGGCACCGCCACCAGCAGAGACAGAACGCAGGCTCATGCCTGCAGCAGCAAGAGTCCCCGGGCCACCTTCACGCCATGCGACTCCAGAATGCTGACAACAAGACACCCGTGCCAGGAAAGAGAAGGGCGACTGGCCCCAAATGAAGCGTCTGAGGACAACTGGGCAGGCGTCTGTCTGATGATGGTGCAGTGAAGAAGACCCTAAAAGCATGAAAGCAAGACCAGTGTGGCTGCAATATGGGGGGTGAGCAAAGAGGAGGAGAAGGGGTCACGTGGCATCCAGTGGCTCCTGGTGAGAAGTAAGGATCTGATTTTCAACACAACGGGAAACCGAGGAGGATGACGTGGAGGACGAGAGTGACGGAACTGAATTTCCATTTTAAAAAAGGTAGCCTGGCTTGAGAGTGGAGAACAGACTGCAGAAGGGCAAGAGTGAGGCCAGGGCCGCCAGCTGGGCTACATCAGCGACCCGAGCAAAAGCTGATGACGGCCTGGTGTAGGGCGCTGGCAGCAGAGACGGAGAATATGGTATTCTGGAGAGTTAACCAACAGGTCGTGCTGAGGGTATCAGGAGGAGGAGGACTGTAGGATGATTTGCAGGGGCTGGACTTAAGCACTGGGTGGATGGCAGGGTCACGTGCTGAGATGATGAGGACAGATAACCTAAGCACAGATGTAGATTTAAATGCAAGTCAGTTTGTGGAGAAAAACAGTATGGATATAAGAGGTGTTTCTAGGCTGTGGTGTGTTCATTTGCTATCTGTGATCACGAAATTTAAAGAAAAACTAGTTCCACTGTCTGATTCTTTTCCCCACTGATGTCCTGACCATCCTGATAGAGACTCAGGGGATAAACTGAGTTAATCTTAGGATGGGAGTCTGCCAAGGAATAAGACGGAAGCAGGGAAGGGATTTGTAATTTTGCACCTTCATGAGTAAGGAAAGATACCAGAGAGTTAACAGACAGCAGAAAGGAAAGCTTACATAAATGAGTAACCCCTCACAAACCATCCATATTATAGTGAAAAAGATTATTATTTTTTTTTGAAAAAGATTATTTATCTAAAAATCACTTAATAGCTGGTTTCCTGAACCAACATCATAGAGACTATATAATGGAAGATAAAGTTGATTATTAATTCTGAGTTAATTTTTCCTTTACTTGAAAATATTTTCAAGTACTGTAAAATTAAACTATCCTATAGTAATACTTCCAAGGAAAATGAAAAAAAAAATGTCCTTACCTCATGATTGTAATCCAGGATTCCTTTCAAAATTTTCTTTAAGTTGCTTATCTGTTTAAAGAGAGAGAAAACAACTGGGTAAAGGCCAACCACAGATGAAAACATACTTCAACCTAAAAAACTTCTGAATCAACCAATCATTCTTGTTAATCATAAACATAAAAAATAAAATTCAACAGGACAGTTGAATCACCATCATAAAAAGGGACTCTCAATGGTTTATTTGATCTAAAAGATTTATAATGCAAATTAACTAAGCTTATCTAATTATTAAGTTAAATTTTCAATGTTCTGACCACATTGACAAAATCAGAAGGTAATTGAGTAAGACTTAACAGTAGGATCAAACTATGCAGATTTTCTCCAAGGAGAGAAAAAAAATGTGGCAACCTTACTGAAGACTTGAGTTCAGTGTCCTTTTCCCCAGAAAAGCAGAGTTACATCTTACACAGAGGTTAAGTTCTAAAGCTAGAGGATTAAGCAAAAGTTATAGTCAAAATTATCTTTGGAAATCTTGCAAAGCAACCTATGAATCAGGTTGTCACCTATGAAGAAATGTCTCTTAAGTTCCTCCATGGTCAGAGAAAGTGTGTGTTCATTCAGCTGAGACCAAGGAAATATTTAGGAGCCATTAGGTTAAAAAAAAAAAAAGGCTATATCTTTACATGTTTGTACAAGGCTCAGGACTGCAAGACAACAGTGCTATGAGGGGCAACATAGTAACAAGACAGGCTGAGCGACTGACACCCACTCAACTCCCCAGCGCAGGCTCCTGGCTCTGCTGCCTGGGTGAAACCACCGGCACCATCACCTGCACTATTTACTGCAGACTTGTATTTTCCCCCTTGTTTTTTGGACACAACTCAGACGGCTGGATTTGCGTCAGGATGCACACACGGTAGGATTCCTTCGGTCATCCACCTGGCTATCCCCAGGTGGATGCTGCTAGTGGAAGACACTCTAGGAGAGAGGGCAGGAGCAGTGGGGCTCAGGCTCACCGCAGACATACTGAGTCTTAGGGGAAGACAATAAACTGAAAACATCATCCTTAAAAAAAAAAAAAATCTCATAAACAAGACCAACATGCTCACATCCCTGAGAAAACCTGGAGTCATGGGAAATATATAGTTTGCTTTCTCTGGTGCTACCGTGTTCTTTTATCTTTTAACATTTTAACTTAGAAAAAGTCTTAAAGATCAATGCATTCGTTTAAAATGGTAGTTTATTTGCCACTGGAAAAAACTACAAATCTTATCATTCATTCATCAATGGTATCTTAAAATCAATGGCATCTTAAAATTGAAGAAATACAGCTATAGAAATAGAACACAGGATATGATACAGAGAACAGGAATGCAAATCACAATGGTGACTTTCAGTTCTGAACATTAAGAACACGAAGATTCCCCCTTCTCTGGGTTACTGCCCTGCCGCCCTCCTGACACTGACAACCGTGTGTGTTTATGTGTCTGTCTGTGTACAAACCGTGTACACAGGAGTGGGGTATACAGCTCCTTCAGCAGAAACATGAGCCGGTGAGCAGCCTGATTTCTACGTCATAACACTGAAGAGCTACCTCTTTAACTGCCTAATCTTGAAAGGTTATTTCGAAAATAAAACAGTGCCATTAAACAGCATCCATTCACTTGAGTTTAGTTGAAAAGATGAATTAAATTCTGTCAGACCCAATGTCTAGTCAATGAATAAATATTTTCCTCAAACATGTGCTTTGTGGGGAAATATAAAAACAAACCAAGCTTGGCCCATTGTTAAGTCCAGGGATTTCACAAGCTCACTCATCTGCATCTGAGTCGCTGCTAAGGTGTATCAAGGGCTTCCCTGGTGGCTCAGGGGTAAGGAACCCGCCTGCCAACGCAGGAGACGCAGGTCTGATCCCTGAGTCGGAAGATCCTCTGGAGCAGGGCACAGCAACCCACTCCAGTATCCTTGCCTAGAGAATCCCATGGACACAGGAGCCTGGTCAGGCTACGGTCCATGGGGCTGCGAAGAGTCAGACACGACTTGTAGCGAGTAGATTAACAAACAGCAACAAGCTGTACCAAAAATAAATGATTCTAGAGTTCTCCACACTGCCAGTGATGACCACAGAATGATTTCATGGAATAAGATTACAGAGATGGAGATGGAGGCGGCAGTGGCCGAGGGCCTGGGTGGTGTGTGGGGAGGCTGGCAGGGACGGAGCAGCCCCGCCGTGGGGCGGGGACACGCACGTGCACGTGGACAGAGCCAGGCGGGGCCGCACACGCAGAGAAAAGAGTGTCCACAGAGCTGGGGAGCTCCAAATACACTGTGCGGGGCACCCACATCAGACCCTAGGTTTGACAGAAACTGGGGGAACGGTACATGGAACTTCTCTGTACTCTTCTTTTCCCAACCCCTTATGAAGTCTATACTCATTTCAAGACAGAAAGGTAAAAAAAATAATTTACAGATGGGCTGCGATCTGTATTTTTAAAAATAAAAACAAAACATTACTGCATACAGCAAGGTTAGAAACTTAACTAACCACACATGCACATACACTTAGGTGGGTGGGAGGCTTCAGTGTGAACTGCATTTCTCATTGTGGGTTTCGGTCAAAGATGCTTGAGAAGTACTGAAAACTAAGGTTGCCAGGATGGAAATAAAAATGATTCATTCTCTGAGTGCTGTGGACACAGTTAATAATGAGCAATATTTCCTCATCTTTAATAACACTAGCAACTAACATGACTGTCCTAAGTACAGTACACTCGTTAATTCATTTATTTCCATGGGGCAGATCCTGTCACAACCCTCATTTTACAAATGGGGAACTCAGGCGCTGAGGGGCTGAAGACTTGGCCGGGGTTGTGAGCAAGCGGGCTGGGCTGTGGACACAGGCAGCCTGAGCCCTCGATCACTATGCTTCACTAGACAGCATTTTGGTGAGCACTTTCAGGTAACTCCCATCTTTAGTTCTAGGTTATTCACCAAACGCTATTTCAGACACATTAGACCAAAAGTCAACAAGTGGCACAGACCCCCAAGCAAAAGACGTAAAAAGAAAATACCTTCAGCCTCCAGTTATCTCCTACTTCAGTTTTGATTCTATTTAGCCAATTTTCATCAAAATACGCAGGATCTCTGCAAATAAGAAAAAGCTAGCATATTAAGATCATGCAGTGCTCAACCTAAAACAAAACACACACAAACACAATTGAAATTCATCTTGCATCATCACTTAATTGCCATGTAAAAGCGTATCTGACACATATAAGTCACAAAATAACTCAATACATGAGACTGAATGCAATTACAGTAAGTTTCTCTAAAACCAACCGTTACCAGCTTGTCAAAAACATTTTTTAATCAAAAACAAGCTAAAAGGTGAAACGTTATAACATAAAGGTAAATATGGTTTTAAAATCACACACTAATCTGGAATTGGTAGATGCCACACTAATTTTTAAAGCGGTCAAAGTCGATGACAGTTGTTTAAACAGGCCGAAGGAACACATTAAGAAGGAGGTTAGAGTAAGCCATGCAATCGGTATCTCAATGCCTTTCGTCTCCTACTACTGTGAAGGCCACCAAAAATGTTACTAGAATTTCAATCTGTTTGAATAATATAAACAGAGACCTATTTATGTAATAGTAGGCATCAGACAAAGTTGGATACCGTTTCTGTTTGCAGAAGCCCTAAATCTAAGATAACACTTAGATTTGGTGTGGACAAACAAACGGAAAAAAGGATATAACCTGAATAAACGTATGCTTATTTTTTCTTAGGAAAACCTCTAAAACTTCTATAAATACTAGAAAGAAAGAAAAAGAAGCTTTTAGCCTGGCATGTCACCTTGAAGTTCTTGACACAGATGCTCTAAGAAATGAAATTTTATTTGTCCAAGACCACAGGTTGAACACCTCTGACCTGCTCTAGCAAGTGCTGAACTGAAACATCCATTCACAACATAACTGTCTCCATTCACCCAAAAAATGTAACAGCAACCAGAAAAACAGGTTAGGACAAAATCTACAGTCTCAATTTAAACTTTCACTCAAACTGATATGCACAATCAGTACTAAATTTCAAGTTATCTTTAAATGAAATAACATGCTATCTAGAACTTCAAAATTTTATTATTAAAAATGAAAGATATACTTCTTTAGGCATATGTATTTATGAAAAAAGTTACGAATAAGTTATCTCCATAGAAATCTACTATTATTATTTTTGAAGCCAGTACCAAAGTTAACATATTCACTTTATTGTCTCTTTAATTTTTTTAATTGAGATATAATTCACAGACCATACAACTCTCCTGTTTGAAGTGGATTTTAGTATATTCACATCACCACAATCTAACTTTTGAACTTATCCATCATCCCCCAAAGAAACCTTTTATTCATTTAGCCATCACCCCTATTTCTCTCTTTGGCCCCTAGGAATTACTAATCTGCTTTTTACCTTCAAGAATTTGCTGTTTTGTACGTTTCATGAAATTATGCACTGTGGTTTTTTCTGTCTGCTTTCTTTCATTCAGCATGTTTTTAAAGTTCATCCACGTTGCAGCATGTGTCATCCCTTCTTTCCTTTTTATGGCTCAATAATATTTCATTTATGGATACACTATACTTTGTTTATCTATTCATCAGCTGATATACATGCTTCATGCGGGTATGTGCCTCGGAACGGAATTGCTGGGTCCCCTAACAACTCTGTTTAACACGTGAAAGATGACTGAACGGTTTCCCAAAGCAGCTATACCACTTCACATTCTTACCAGCAGCACACGTCAGCTCCATTTTTTCCGTCCTGCTATTTGTTGCTATCCCTCTTTTAGTTATGCCTGTCATAATAGTGGATGTGAAGTCCTGTTTCACTGTGGTTGTGATTTGCATCGTCTTAATAACTAATAATGTGGAGCATCTTTTCATGTGTTTATTGGCCATCTGTATATCCTCTTTGGACAAGTCTATTTCGAATCTTTCCAATTTAACAATTGGGTTTTTTTTGAGTTGTTGGTTTTGGGTTTTGCTTTTTTTTTTTTCAGTATTCAGGATAAAAGCCCCTTATCAGACATTAGATGTGTAAATACTTTCTCGCATTCTGTGAGTTATCTTTTTACAACTTCTTGATGGCACAATTTGCGGCACAATAGTTTTTAATCTTAATAAAGTTCAATTTCATCTATGCCTGCTCTTTGTATTATATCTAAGAAGCTTTTGCCTGATTCAAGGTCAGGAGGACTTACTCCTCTGTCGTCTTCTATGATTTTCAACAGCTTCAGTTTTTTTTTTGAGACTTCAGTTTTAAATGTAGGTGTTTTTCTGGTAGGTTATGATCCATGTGCATAGTGTAAGTAAAGGGTCTAACTTCATTCTTCTGCATGTAGATATTCACACTCAACTATTTTTGTTTCGAGCTTAATGTAGCTTCTTTAGCCAAAACTAATTTGAGCCAAACTGCAGAAAGAAGGAACTTGCGGAAGACCGCTGAGGTCCGTTATGGTACAGAAAGGCAGCGGGCCGCCTCGAGAATGAGACCGAGGACGGGGAGGCTGTTAGGAATCTGGACGGTACTCGTCTGACTTCCACTGTTGCTTCTGCCCATCCATATACTGTCTCTCTGAAGACCAGCCGTTTCTGTTTCTCTAGACATGCTCCAAGTCTTCACCATGCCAGTTCAAGGAAAGAGTTTTAAAGAGCAGCCCCCAGCCAATCCCAATTCTAAATTCCCAGGAAACTGCAAACGATGAAGCCAGAGTCCGTTTCCATCCCCAAGCTGACTGCCATGTGACCACAAGGATGGAGTGGGACACACACTGGGCAGACACCCCCAGAAAGAGGCCTCTCGGCTTAAAACCTCTTGCGACAATGGATAATGCGAAGAAAAACAACAATATAAGTGAATTCTACTAAAATATTACAGAATTATCATGAAAGTAATTCAGAAAATAAAAAAACTCCATATTTTTAATACTTAAATCATTGAAAAAGCCATAATCTAAAAATCATTATCACTGCCAGCCAAGTAACAGTCTTTCCAAATAAGAAGGACTCACGAGCAGGGCAAGTTGTGAGTCTGGTGCTAAGTGGGGGATGCTCACCCAAAGCCAAAGGCACACTAGACTTCCTGGTTCAGTTGTGACGCAGGGCCACACAGCTGAAAGAGACTTCCATCCCAACAGGAAACCCCTTAACTTATAAACAAAGGCTTTTAAAATGTTTAAGAAACTATACACTCTGAGAACTCCAAGACTACAGAATACTTTGTTTACAATTTAGAGTACCACGAATTGAAGAACTTGGAAAAATCTGAATAAAACGTTTCAAGCCAAGCACTAGGATACAGTTTGTTTCTTCCTAAGACCACGACATCAGAACCTCAAAACGCTGCCTGAGCAGAGAAGGAAGGACAACCCAGGCAGCTGTTACCACCCTGAACTGAGCACGGGTAACGTCCGAACCACAGAGCCCGGCACTCCGCATTCACGGTGACCCTGCCAGGAAGGTATCAGTGTCCCCACGTGACACTGTGGAACATCAGACTCAGAAGGTGAGTGATCGCCCCACGTTCATGCAGTTAAGCGGCACAGCTGATGGTTACTGCCTCTCTTCTGATAAAAGATGAGAAGACTTCAACATGAAACCGGTCCCCTGCAAACACTACCACGGTCTTGCGGCCAACCCTCTCCTCCTGCTCAGCAGACCAGACACGGAGAGCAAAGATCCACAACGTTCAGGACCACGCTCTGTGCTCAGTGGGGGCAGGCGTGTGTCCCGGCCACTGCCGTCTGCCGAGCACCTCGGGTCTGACACACGGCAGCCCGCACCGATAGCTGTGCACCGAACTACGTTGGGAAAAAGTCACAGCGCTTTTACTGAATAAGCTTCCAATTTGCCACTTGGGTGGAACACAACAACAACAGGAGTCCACAGATCTAAACTACGACACAAATGAACTATCTATGCAAGAGAACAGAGCCACGACGCAGAGAGCTGGCTGGGTGGGGGAGGAAGTCGGGGCTGGCAGATGTAAACTGTTGAAGAGAGAGTGGATAAACAACGAAGTCCTACTGTGCAGCACGGGGGATTATATTCAATACCCTGGGATAAATCATAATGGAAAAGAATGCTTGGTTAAAAAGAAGGTGTATGTAAAACTGAATCACTTGACTGCACAGCAGTAATTAACAACACTGTAAATCAGCCATTCTTCAATTAAAAAAAAAAAAGGAACAGTAGTCCCCACCCGGCTTCCATTTAAAGTGACTTTCTGTAGTCATGAACTCTGACTCAATGTGCCGGCATCTAGCCATAACTCTGTTTCTCGAGGCAGTTGACAATTTCCGGTGTTTTCTCAAAACCCCTAATTAATGTTCTCAGGCTAGGATCAAACAACATAAAGGCAATTCTTCTCCAAAATCGTAACAGATTATACTTCTGCACAGATATGCAACCAACAAGGGATAATCTTACTGGGAGTGTTCCTCATGAGTAAGGGACTATCTTTAGCTTCTTACCACGTCCTGACTCCTGCTAAGAAAACAACGCAAACCAACCACAAAACATACAAAGCCATTTCCTCAACTTTTCCAGTAACATGTCTACTTGGCTATAGCTTCTTTGTCACAGCTTAAGCTAAAGGAAAAGCCCATTAATTTTAATCGTTCATGTAATTCCACAAATACACCGTCTTCCTGTAGTCAACTGCCTCCACAGAAACCAAAACATTAAATTTTATTTCTACCGCTGAAATTATTCAAGTGCCATAATATTCTTCCTGAATCCCCCAAATGAAGATGTCTGAAACAAACCCTGCATTTTGACTTAATTTCTTAATAAGGCATTTAAAAAACCGGGATACAGTTCCCTTACAGTTCTGTGTCAGCTTCTACAATACAACAAAGTCAATCGGCTACATTATACATATATCCTTGATACGGCATTTTTAGTAGCATCCCTTATTATTTTTCTTTAATAAGATATGTTGATTCTTAGGTCTATTTTCTCATGATCTTTTCATTACACAAAACAATCATTTTGGTCCCCTGCCATTAAATGGATGCTGAAGCGTTAGCTGTGGTATTTATACTTTGCATCCTTAATGATGACAAGAATAAAGTGAACTATGCTTCATC